CCGAAATCTGCGGTCGTCCACCAACGGGATCCGGATAAAACGCCGAAGCTTCATATCGGTCAGCCAGCTCCGCTCTTGAAAGCCTGATCAAGCGCCTGAATTCGAAATTGAAGTCGATCACCTTTTCGTAGTACAGGAACCCTGTTCCTGTCAGTCCGTGCCGAAACAATCGAAGAAAGGGCGATGATGTCGTCGAGCTCATCGTAGTAGGTTCTGACGGGACATCGTCGTCTTGATTTCGCGAAGGTATCCGGGTGTACGTGGTCGATGAAATGTCTATGAAAGCAATCGCAGTACGAAATTAAAAATGCAGACATGTTTCGCTGGATACTGCACACACTTTTTAGTACATTGTTTAACGTAAAGAAATATGCATGTAAAATATTTTGTCAAAGAAAGCAATATAAAATAAACACGAAGGATATGATCGAAGCGAATGCCATGGCGACACAGTAGACGGCAAAAGCAGACGACGCCTTGCGCGGAAGTCGATCACAGCGCTAGTCCTAATGCGGTGGCTGCACTTTCTGGCCGAATCGATCGCTCGCGAACTTTTGTCGACCACATTTTTAAGTCGAAGTTTCAGGGTTCAACTGGTTTGAACCAGGTCAACGAATCTTCGGACCTTTATCCCATACCAGTCGAAAATTGACTTCCGGTAATGCATTTCTATGGGAAAAAGTGAGTGCATTTTCTCTCTGCGCTCGATCATAAGAGCAAATATCCCGAATAATTCATACGTACTAGGTAGCTTAGAACATTTCTCAGTCAGGCCGACGAAATAATAGGTCAGTTACGGTGTTTTCCTTTCAAATTCATCGCATTAAAAACGGCGCTAAAACAGCTTCGTACGTGTATTTATGTGCACTGTCGGACACTGTTAGCGCGAACACGACGTCAGAGCTTTTCAGCGTGGGGGATATACGTGCCAAACGAACGAAGAACATCTGGAAATTAAGAAAGACGGCAAGAACTCTCAAGAACGCACATTGCACTCGCTAAACACATTCACACGGCGTCGGTTCTTGGTCGGTATCCATGCGCGCGAAGGCAGAGACACGGCACTTCGGCGTGCCAAGGAAGCTTTGAACACGCCGCCAGCCCTTCCTTTCTACGCGTTGTGCCTTTTTCCTGCGACACTGCACTTTCGTAAAATTTTCCACGTGTTCACAACGGCAAGTCTCAACAATACACAGAGTCTCAAAAAACTTCCTCGGCGAATGACGACGAACGAGTAGAAAACGTGTCTACAGCACGCTGGAAAACCGCAACGAAAGGCTAGCAAAACGGGAAATCGTATCCCAGCGGGGTTGCGTCCGGTGGCTTCACTTGCGGGAGTGGCAAGCGCGATCCAGCAATTGTCATTGAGATCAGTGATAATAACTGTATGGTTGCTGTCTGCTTCAATTTGCGTCAGCACACTAGCGCCACTTGAACCTCTAGCGTACATTATAATAACTCTATGCTTTAGCCCCTTTAACCAGATTCGACCGATTCGACTTTGGATGGATAGATGAATGTTACTGGCTTATACCCTTTGTAGCGGGCGGTAGGTTGCGCCACCTAACCTAAGTCTAAGAATTAGTTGTGGACAGTGTGGCCAGACCTTAATGCAAGCATGTCTAGGTTCGGAAAAAAAATTTATGCTAAGGGTATTTTAATTTTATAAACTGTTGCAATTAAAATAAACTAATTCTAATCACTGAATAAGTTCATAACTTAATTTTTTTTTTGGTACTGCATTACCTGAAATAACCAATCAGTGCTGCCCTGAATTCATCCCTTAGCCATCACCATCGAATCCGAAGCCAACTGGCCAGCCTGTCGCGCATGCGCAAAGCAGTCGAACTTCAGCCGAACCTTTGTCGAACTTTGTACAAGAAGGTTGAAAAAGTCGAACCTCGTCGAATTCGAACCGTTGTTGAACCTTTAGCGATCTAGCGTATCTGGCAGATTCTGAAACTTTGAATATGTAGATATGATATATATGAATACTTATTTATCGTTAATACCAATTGATATTTATCTTAAAACCAAACCAATATAATATGGTAAGCTCAGAGCTATGAACAAAAAGTGTACAGAGGACGCTAGTCACAACCTAAATCTTATAAGAACGCATGCATTTGTCGGTCCAGTACCCTATAAGCCTACCTTTATTAAATGTTTTCGTTTTCTTGATTTGTTCGGTGTTGCAGTGGTTGCAGCGATCTCCTTTTAAGTCTTTTTTTACCGGTACTCCGGATCGAGAATGACAAGAGTTTACACAATAAGAAGTCGCATGGGTGTTCTAGGACCAGATAGGAACGTAGTGTAATCGATTTGACAACACTGACCGCCTTCGTAGTTAATCCTTACGTCCGAACTCGCTCGGGAAAGCTAGTTGCGTTCTGTAGTGAGCAGCATCGGCTGGTTCATGGCGATTGTATACTGGACGAAGGCGTGTGAAACAGCAAAGGGACCACAAAAAAATTCACCGGGTTCCTTAAGGCAAGCTCCTCGTTCTAAAAGTTCCGAAAATAGCGTAACGCCCATGAGCGGCCAAGGTTCAGTCGTCCCCGGGTTAACTCATTGGAGTCCCTCAAAGAGTGAGCGTTCTCTTTTGCTGGCTATTCCATAGACTATGTTCGAGCAAGACGCAGCCCCGTGAACTTCGGACACACTGTGCGATCACTCGTAAGTACGGTGGTGCAACGTCGAGTTACATTTCTGGTTCAGTGGCGCGGGACTCGCTTGTGATCCGACTGAACCATGTTGGCTTGGGCCCGCGAAGACGCGCTAGAGATCTTATCTCGCATGTGTAGTGGCGGCTGGGCCACATTCTTGTGCCAAATATAGCCACTTGATCGTATGCATTTTCCTTCTACATATCTACGTGGTGCTCATGACCGCCATGTATTTCAGCTGAGGAAGAATGAACGTGTGAACCAAATTTTACGTAAAATTCGGAGAAAAAGTGCGCGCTGTCATAGTTACGTGAAAAACAACAGGTGAACACCTCTCATTCTAGTCTTGGGCTAAAATGAGCACTCGTATTCATTGAACTAGGCTGCTTAGATATGATGATGGTGTGGTGAACGTATGTGTTAGCTAAGTATGCCTTGCAACGTTTCGAGTTTCTATATTTTGCATTTGACTCACCTTTCCCCGCTTGAGGCAGTCCTGGTGTTGTTTCACACATTCTTGTGAATATGGTCATGTTCCCATGCTTAAGGTGTAGTGCATTGCACTTGGTCACACCAATTTACCTTTTGTCGGCCTGGACAGCTTGATATATTACTATTATCCGTATTGTGCTTGAAGTTATTGTGCTAACAACAAAGAAGGCCATAGTAATGTGAAAGGTCTAATTTCAAACTATATGAAGACATACACCAAACACACTTCCACCCACGTTGCCTTGTTATCGACTCGCTGCTCGAGAAAGCTTCATATCGGCTGCTCTGATAACGACTCCTCTGACTGTTCCCAACAGGCTGCAGATACCATACTACATTCACCTCTAAGCTGACAAGACGATAGAAGCTACATGCTTGTTGATTGGACCAGCTGTCTGTCAATCTTTTGCCATGTGATCATGCTTCTACCCTTGCCCCTGCGCAGGGTCAGGCAATGAAAGGCAGGCGTTTGATTGGTCCAATGAGAGCACAACTTCCAACACCCTGTCAGCTTGTGCATGAGCAGGATACACAGCCATATTTTTTCAACTCCCTAGTCTCTGTTTTGGTGGTGTGCACCGCTCCAAGCAGGCTCTTAAGGATCCATAGTTTTAGAAAGAACTGGTGCCACCTGGTGGAACACGTGGTTTCATGATTCCCAGGATGAAGCAATGCGTGCATTGCGGAGGAGAGGGAAGAAGTGTCTTAGAACAAACTTGGGAGCAAAAAGATAAGCCACAATAGACACAAATGAGACTGGAGAAGCCCAATCCAGGTCACCGCAGCTCAGAGGAGCCAGCAGGATCTAGCTTCCTTGAGAGGGAGTGCCCAGACTTGCTTGAGAACGTGCTCACATATTTTCATATCAGAATCTCCTGAACTGGCGATTTCCAAAAATGGTTCATTGCTTGTAATGAGTTGTGTACAGAGGTCAGCCTTTGGGCTGACCCAGAAATTCTGGTGCTTAAAAGATTGCATGTTTTGTTAACTATGCCCTGCTACACATTTGAAGAACTGTTTTTGATACTTGTGGATCATATTTTAAAACTTGGTTAACCCCTTTTATTGGTTGTTTCTTAAAAATTGGGAATTGCCTATCAGGAAGTTGTCTGGTAGTTTCCTAAAAAAATGTAGAACTTAATGATGAATGCATCAGAAAACTTGTTAGTGTGTTCATCTCATAATAATTTTATGTTTTAGGCTTTTAAAATTATGTTACAGGTTGAATCATACTGTATACTACGAGACACTGTTAGCATGAACATGACATTGGCACTTTTTTCAAATTTTAATTACATGTTGCTGTTGAGCGCAAAACTTTACCACTGAAGTTTGGGCTCCATATAAGAGCATTAAACAATAATGCAGAGTGCAAGTTTGTCTCATTCTTTTGCAGGAGTTGTGGTGATGTCAGAACGCCGAGCTCTGATTGGCTCTGATTAAAGGATAGTACGTAGACCTCAAGGCAGTTTGCTTGGAGGTCTACCCCCTATCCTTCAATCAGAACCATCCTTCAATCAGAATTTTCTGATTCTGATTCAGAAGAATCAGAATCAGAAAATCAGAATCGGCATGTTGATGTCACCACAACCCCTGTAAAAGACGCAGACAAACTTGTGCTCCGCATAGTAGTTCTTACGTCAGCCTTTTATCTTTAGGAGAAAACTTTAGATAACTGGCAACTGCTCCTTTGTGCTGCATCCCACTCTGTACAGTGTAAACTGTGAGCAGGATGATAGTCTGAAACCATGATGTACTGATAACTGAGTTGACCAAGTTCATTGTCGGATTCTGGTTTGAGGAGATGGAATTGGTAACATATTGTTCCAGATGAAAACCATGGAATCATGTTCCTTGAAGAGTGGCATTGGATTGATTCCACACTTTGCATTATCTAGAAATGCAGCTAGGGCTATGGCTTCAGATATGCACATGCGTAAGGATTAAATGTGAAGCCCTTCTATTTAGCACCCGGCCAGCATTCTCACAAATACTATGGTGGGAGGACAACATATTTCAAACTTCCTAGACAAACATTGACAGAATAGCTGCATCTAAGGTATTGAGGTTGTCCTTTGTCCAGCCATACATGTTCAAGAAAAGTAGGGTGGTAGCAAATAATGAAGAGCTTAATACAAATATATTGCTTGCAGCTGTCTGAATAATATCTTGTGTGTACAACTAAATTCATGATGGGAGCCTGCCCATAGCAGAAGTCAAATCAAGCAGACATTTTTTAACTTTCTGCATAGAACACTTTAAACATATAGAAAGTTCCAGCATTATAATTCACATGTGAAACTAAGCCAGATGTATGGAGAAAAACCAAATATGGATACATTGATTGTTGGGCATGTTTTATTACTTCATGGTTGTTAGAGGAGCTAGGACAGCAAATATGCTCTCCCACAAAGCACAACACTTGACTGAGGCAATGTCTCAGATATTTCCAGTTCATGTAAAGTGTGCACAGAATAGTATAATATTACTGACACAGGTGACTAGCTTGATCAACATATACTGGTACCTACATTTTCCTGGTCGCACTTTACAACGATGGCAGATTGGCAGTAGCGCATCATTATTTGGTAGAATGAGAAAACATGCCCCGGTATACTGGTATCTTACATGCACCAGCGTTTTTCTTCATTATGCCAGACTGAGGAAACCCACTTCGCTAATTATTACTAGTGGGAGAGACCAAATATTCAGTTTTTGTCAGGAATGCACTCGCATAACTCTAGAGGCAGTGCCAAGGTTTTCAACTTGACACTGTTAGTGTGGCTTTCATCCAGGTAATGAGGAAATAGTATATCATATATTAATTGCAATACTGCGAGAAGAAACCGTTTTGAGCATCTTGAAATATGTGTGCATGTCGCAATAAAAACTTTGTAGATGGGCAGGTTTGCATGGTGGTTAGTGGCGCCAGAGTCTGTCTGAACTAAACATAGCTAGCAGCACATTTTTTAGGGCGGGCAAGACAACCATGCTTAATGAACATGATTGTGCAAATTAACTGCCTTGCGAAACTTTCTGGTCCCAAAGACTCCGAGGCAGCGGTGCCAGGATGTGGCGGTCGGCACCCGACAGCCTCCGTAGCCTGCTGTCCAAGTACCAACAGGATGGCCTTTTCCACCAAGAATCAGCCCGGAAGGCCGAGAAGCGCCACCATTTAGAGGAAATAGCCAAGCGCTTTGTCTGCGAGCTTCCCCATGGCAGCAAGTTTGTCTGCCCTCCTGTGGAAGCCTTGCTGCGCCAGGCTCTGGAGGAGGCTGCCCCAGATACCTTCGACCCTCTCCAGGCAGCGGCCGCCTTTGCTGCCCTCGAGGACTATGCCATCAACCTGCTGGTGCAGCCGTGGCGTGGCGAGGTGCAGCAAGTCAAGGTGAGGTCACCACTGGTACATGGCCCAGCCGTCGGGAGACAGATAGCGGCTCCTGATGGCGGGGAGCCGCTATCCGTATCCCTCCTTTTGTTCAAAGTGGCTATCAAGTAAAAGCAGGCAGAGGGAAACAAACCAGTTGATTCTTTTCTCCCTCACGAGATTATGTTACGGCGATGTCGTGGTGGCATGTTCAGTGCCGCCAGTGGATATTAGCTGCAAGAGTGGTCCTTTTTTTCTTTTTTTTCTAATTCTGAGAGTCTATGGCCCTGGGGAAGGTGTCTTTATTCCATTTCCATACTAATTATCTGTCTTCGAGAAATAATCCTGACTTTCTAGATCTCACAAAGCAGGCTTCCTCATGACTATCGTTTCTGGGAGGAAAACTAGTCCAACGAGAAGGAAAAGTTCAAGTCTGATCAATACTTTTGTTTTGCAAGCCCTAGCAAGTGTAACCAAAAGTATATTTCTTTTTCATGCTTTATGAATGTGAGGTGTCTATTGCCAACTAATTAAGTAAAGTAAAAAAAAATGCTTTGTTTAACTATTACAGTGGCACTAAATGCCATAAAGTGTTCCAGGGGATCTCACAGGTACTCCTCCTTTAGCTTGTCATCTGCAGTGGCATAGCCTGATGTTTTGTGTGGTGATTTCAGCCTGTTGCAAGGAAACTTGTCAGTGCATTCAGTAACTGTAACGTAACACTTGAGAGTGTACCTGAGAGTATGCTGTGGAAAAATGAAGAAAATTTCAAGTTGAATGAAAAGACAACAGTAGGAGAATGTCTCAAATTCTGCTAATTTCATTTATTTCACTTTTTTTTTTTTGTCTATCCTCGACCTATACCTCCAACAGTAGTAGAATACAATGGCCCAAAGGAAATACCGTATTTACTCGAGTAATAGCCGCACTATTTATGAACAAGGCCCGTGCGTCTACTTTCCCACAGAACACATATACAACCAATCATTGCGTTGCGCATAAATAACATAGCGAATAACCAGATCGAGAATATGATTCTCCATACAAATTCAATCTTCAAAGATGGTATCTTGGCGCAAAGACGTTATCTCTGTCCTGTAAACAGCTGGAATCATGCTGTCGAACGCGGTGATTGGCAATCTGCGTGCTCCGCGGAAAAGCGAACCCTCAGGCTTTCTTCATAAACAGTGCGGCTATTACACAAGTAAATACGGTACAGAAATAAGGACTATGTATAAGATTGTCCGTTGCTTTAATATTAGCAGAAATTTATCTCGGCACCTTGGATAACACAGTAAACAGACAGTTTATAGACCAAGATTCCTCAAATGGCTGCCTAATAAGAAGGTATGTAGATTTTTTTATTTTTTTATTTATTACCTACATTGCCTTGAAGGGCATTACAGTACAATTTCTAATTGTAATGCCCTTCGGCATTACAATTAAAAATTTAATGCTGAAGGACATTACATTTTTAATTGCTCGGTTCATGAAAAGCAGTCACGGGGTTAAGAAATGTTGGTGAAATCAGTAGCTCCGGAACTTAAATTTACTGTCGAACAGCCGGAGGAAGTGTCCTTGCAGTTTCTAGATTTGTGCGTGCATGTCGAAGAAGGTCTTTGCTGATATCACGGAATGGAAAAGGCAAAACCGGTGTTAAGTAGGAATAGTTTGGTTGGCAAGTCGGTGAAAGCGGGAGTTGTCAAATCTTTAATATTGAAAGCAATGCAGAAATTGTGCACCCATTGGGTAAGTCATGTAGTAAAGAGAGAATGGAGGAGGCTAGTAGGTGCTGGGTATGAACAAGATTTCATTACAAGAAACTAGAACTGCAGTACAGGGTTCGAAGTAAAGGTGATAAAGAACCAAGAAGAAAAGTATTAGTGATCCCATACTTCCATCAGATTTCACATAATCTGAAAGCTTGTGCCAAAAAGTTTGGAATTGACATGATGTTCAGTGCTGATTTCAAACTGAACCGCCTAACACTGTTTCGGTCCAGTAAAAAGGTATGTCAAGAGGCCCATTGGGAGAGGTCTGTTCCCTGTAGAGATGTAGTTTATGAGATCCTGCTTGCATATGGCATTAAGTACATGGGGCAAACCTTGACATGCGTATTGGTAGGGTTCCATGTTTTGTGGGTTTGTTTTTCTTCAAATTTAAAAATGTTTTGCAGGGTATTTTTTTTTTTTAGAACCTGTGTTTTTTTGTGTTTATTTTCGACGTGACCCAAGTAAAATACGTCATCCCGGTACCGACAACAGGAGACGGGCCGGGGGCAAGGGATGTTTTTCTCAACAAAAAATAAAAATGGCAACCTCAAGGGCAGGTAGTACAGGCTGTGTTCAGGGTCACAAAAACAATGCTGCAGATTTCTTTCCCGAAAACTGGGCAAATAAATCTGCAGCAGTGTTACGTTTCTAGCTCTCCTAGAGGTTCTGTGTTCCTGTATTGTTTGTGGGGGGTGCCCCTGTGTTTATCAATAATTTTTGATTAAGTTGTGCTAGCCCACTTTCTGTTTTTCACCATTTATCTTTTTTTTTTGGGTGGGCGCCCTTACAAGGGATTTTTGGGGATTTTTACTGTAGCTGAGTTTGAGACATCCTTCTACTATTGTTTTTCGTTTTGACTTGAAAGTTTCTTCATTTTTCCGCACCACAGTTTCGGGTTACATCATGATTAATTATCATCAGCTCGCCTGCATGTTCATTGTTTTTTTTCGTATTCAGTAAAATGTGCCTCTTCTTAAAACACTTTGAAATCTTATATTACAGAGCTGACCTATCCACGTGAAACATAATTTTGTTGTGTAGAGTCAAGTCTAATTTTTATTGGTAAAGTTCTAGCATCCCAAACTTCTCCTCCCACTTGCACCAGTGTCTCACTAGCCATATGAATTTTATCTATTAAGGAATTTTATATGTAACCTTTGCTAATAAATTTATATGCTGCCGTTCCATTGCAGGGTTGGGCGAAGTGCAGTGCATAAACTAATTTGAAATTGATACCTTCTTCATTCAAATGTGAAGTAACGTGCCAGTACCATAAATACTGTGATTTCTATTGAGATTGCATTTAATTCTTGCCATTGGATCCAGGTCCTTTTTCACCAGTTCTGGCTAATATGAACAGACGTCATTTTATATATGAATATACTTTTCTTCTTCATCAAGTTCCCCAACTCAGAGTCCCCTCTAAACAATGTTTAGAGGGGACTCTATATATTGTGACCTTAGACATTGGAGGTTTTCAAATAAATCCGCATTGACGGAAATTTAACCGGCAAGTGTTTTTCGGATTTCTTCGGTTTTGTCCAAAAGCGCCGAGTCCTAATCACATCCAACCAAAATCTCAAAATGAGACATCACCTTACGACTGTACTGAGATGCCACCGAACTACAAGCTCTCTGGTAATCCGTCCAAATGGTTTTAGTGCTTCGCGACAATCGGGAAACTGTACACCATTCCATTGCAGCCTATGGGCGAAAGATTTTCGTGCCACAGTGGGGTGACATTTGGAGGGCTAAGTATTGCTCAGAGTCATTCACCGGTAAACCGACAAGCTTTCAAGTTGATTGTGCTTCATGATTCAGTGCCTCATAAATTTCTAATATTGGATGACGTAAAAAGGAGGTGGGCACTTCGTCATTTTAGGATGGGTTTCACACGTGTCGGTTCGTACCAGGACGGGTAAGAAGCACGCCAACTCAAACACTTGCCCGCACGTTCGAAATGAGCCAGACGAGTTTGGGCACAAAAGGGAGGGACGGGAGCTCTGGGACAACCTTTGACAGGCTGAAGACTCTTGTAAATACAAGAACTGGACGTGCGAGTGGTGTCCTTCCCGAGTAGACTCTTGCTCTGGAGTCTGCTGGGTAGACAGCGGTCTTGTTTCTGGCAGCTGTACAGCGGGTACTACAAGCACACGGTGGAGAGGCAGCTGAAGAACGGCAGGGTGATTCTCCAGCTGATGGGCTACGAGAAGAAGGAAGAGGAGGTACTGCAGTTGGCCCGTGTCGTGGACCCTGCTACTCTGAGCGAGCTGGCCCTGGACTGCCTGATTGCCTCTGCGGAGTGCCGGGTGGGTTTCCCCAATACTCTCAAGCAGAGATTGTTTTCCTTTTCAACCCCCTCCCTCCCTCCCTTTCTCTCCCCCCCCATTTCGAAAGCCATTATTGAGAAATGAATATTTCTTGCCGAAATATTACAGGAGGGTCATTTGGAAAATGTGTACTTTTGGCGGGCATTTACCCTCTTTTCTCGTGTTTTAGCATACGACCCTTCCCCTTGTCAGTTATTCTTTTCTAGACTTTGCATCTTTCTAGACATTGGGTTCTTTCGATTTTTACTGATTCCGAAAAAATGACCTGGAGATACATAGCCAGCTAGTTCTCTGTGTATCTTGGTGAAAGACCAAAATGAGGATTCATATTTTAAAATGTGTTTGACCCTTTACAAATATTTCTTTTCTTTCTTATAGCAGGACAACTTACGTGTTTGGTAAACGTTCACATAACTGTTAGTATACCTTGTCTTAATAAAGTGTCCCATAAATATTACTCAACAAAGATGGCTTCAGCATGTGCAATAACAAGGAAACAAAATAAAAGGAACAGTAATATTTTTTTTTCAAGCTGTTTTTTTTTGTTTTTCAATTAGCAGTGTGTTTATGTTTTGTCTAACGGGCCTGGAGGTATTTATATATGTTATTTTGAACACGAAAGCCCCCACCACAAGGGTCTATAAAAAGTTCCAAAACTACCGGGCAGACCCAATGCCATATTGGCCCCTTTAAGGAACTGCGTAAATCGGTATCTTAACATATTGTGCTGACTTACACAGAGGTGCCCAAAGATGAAGCATTATGTATACAGTAAAACCTCGTTATAACAAAATGGGATATGACAAACTAATGGATATAACAAAGCAATCATAATTCCCATTGCTTGTTAATAGTGGGAAGAAATGGACATTGGCTATAACAAACTAATGGTTATAATGAAATAATTACGATCGCTTCTTCAACTTTGTTATAACGAGGTTTTACTGTATAAAAATTTCAAATAATAAACATATTATTATTAGCTGGGTAACAGGTAAAAAAATTAGGAATACTCTTTTTCCTATCTATAGCATCCATCTGCAAATAATGCACGTCTGATAAGTACAATAGTCGGCAAATGGCGGAAGCAGTCTCTTCACCAAACGCATGCAATCTTTAGGGTCAAAAACAGCACTAACTTTTTCTTTTTAGTGTTAGTTATCAATGCATTATTTTGTTAGTACAAATAAAAAAAATTGAATGGACTCAAAACTAACAAAAACAATGGTTTGCGAGTTATTTCGGCTATGCGGATACGCTTTGTGGACCACTGCCGCCATCTGCCGGCTGTTACACAAGTCACGTGCATGTTGCCTAAAGACTGACATCACGGGTAGGGAAAAATTATTTTTAAGTTTTAGTCTTTACTTTGATAAGTTTTTCTTTGAAAATTTTATACAAAAATTCACCAACTATGGCATCTCTGTAGTAGATTGTAGTGCGATATGTTAAAAAAAAATGTATGCAGTCTCTTGAAAGGGCTAACATGCCATCCAGTGCGCCCAGTACTTAAACTATTGCAGCGAGATACTGCGGGTATACTCAATTTCAAGAGTTCTGTGCAGCATTACGGAGGGGATGGGCAAGAGCATATGGTTCTAGATGGTGTTTTCTTGCGCATGCACTCGTGCAAACAAAACATATTGAAAACCTATGCTTGCGCACCTCTGCCTTTAATAGCACCGAGCACACCTAGATAATGGTGAAAATGAAACACCTGTGTCATAGCAATATTTCTTGTAGGTTTTGGCAACAATCATGGATGGACTCAAGGAATGTGGCATACCCATGACATGGAAAGAGTTGTACCGATTTCGGCGCGAGTGTAGCTGCAACCCCGAGGACTCTGTGCGAACCCTTATTCAGCGCCAGAAACACAGAACCACTAAGCAAATGGCCGTCCCAGAGCTTTCTGCAATGGAGCCTCTGTTCCAATGGCACCACTTACCTGCTGAAGAAGTGGATAGAACAGGCTGGCTCGTTCAAATGCCCACCAATGGCACGTGGCCTACATCTAGCCACTGGGACACATACCTTGAACCCCCGCTATCACACAGTGCAGACTCTCAAAGGCCGTTAGCCAACAGCCGTTCTCCTGCTGGAATGCGAGGGACTAAGCACAGCGACGACTTGCTCATGGGAACTGCGGATGGCTCCTGCTCGAGAGACACATTTCGACCGCTCGTAGGCAGCTACGGTATGCCTTTGTGGCCAGACCACCCCAATGCTGGCGGCCACGATACAGGTGTCCCAAGACTGCCCGACCACCTACGCTATGATGGGGGGCGCTCGGGAGAACACTACTCTCAGTCGGTGCGCCGTGGGCCAAGCCCCAAGGCACGCCAGTCTGAGATATCCCACGCTGCGAGCAAGGAACCGGTAGACTTGATCTCGCAAGGCATGCACGCCCTCTCATTGGGCTCTGGCTTGATCGGGCAGGAAAGGGATGCTGGCAGCTTCATAGTACAAGAGCCGGTTGTGTTAAAAGCAGTGCCATCGTGCGACCCCGGCCCCAAGGACACTCTGGATGCCACGACGGTCGTGGAGGCGGCAGCTCAGTACCTACATGCCCAGGCTGCAGCAGCCATTGGGGAGGCGTCGCATGACACGCAAGTGTGGTCGTGCGGGGCATGCACCTTCCTCAACGCACCCGAGCGCGACGTCTGCGAGATGTGCAGCAAGAGCAGGCACACTGGCCCCGAGATGACACCTCTCCTGTCTGGAGGAAAGCAGTGTCCCGTCTGCACGCTTGTCAACGACCGCCAGGCAAAGTCCTGCAGTGTGTGTAGCACCTCTCTCAAAGACTCGCCCACATACATTTGATGTTCTGTGGCAGCTTCGTAGGTATGCTCTAACTAAGGAAATGTGCGGTCTTTCTAGGTGTGCACGATTGTACTGGCGTAGCTAATATCTATGGATTAGCAAGTAGACCTCTGTTACGGGTTCCACTTTATGAGGGGTATGCAAGTTTTACTGCTGCGCATTGTTGTGGAGCAAGGTCAGTCGACATCTTGTTGATTTGGTGCCCTAGCTCTATCCAAGTAGTTGCACTGGTGTGCATTCGAGGGAACCGTGCCTGGAACGATCCGAGACTGAGGGACGTGTAGTGACCACCCACCCCCAGATACACTAGAGGAAGCCAAAAAGTATTAGCTTGCCAGCTCCCGGTGTCCGAAATGAACAAGAAAAAGAGGGTATAGTTATAATCAAGGTGCCATTTTTTTTGCTTTGCCCTTCAATCTGAAGCAGCTCTTGATTTTGTAAGGGTGCGTGAGGGCATTCTCTACATTTCATGAAAGCATACTGTATCCCAGAAGTCACCTTAAGAAATGCCACACTTTTTTGCCAAGTATGCCAAGCAAACACACCGTATCTTGAGCCAGCCTAATTCACAGAAACTTCCCACTTTTTTTCCTATTATTGCTAAACTTAGTTTGTAGCAATGCTAGGTATTATAATTTAATTTAGCCCATAAATGATCACTTACACTGAGCCTGTTCCAAATGAATTAACTTGCAGAGGTTCAAGAGATCATCACATTGCAATTGACTCTATGATGCATTCTCTTTGTAAAATTAATTCAGTATCTTCTTGTGAAACTTTTTCATATTGAAATTATAAGGTCTAGCAAAGAAACATGGTGAAACCATATTTTTCTTAGGATGTTTTATATGTGCAGGGTTCTTACATTTTTAAGATGTGTAATGTGTGTGGCAATCCTGTGTGTTTGTGCATCATTTTGTTTAATTTATAGTGTGCTCCAAGCCTGACAAAGCACTTTTGTGATATGGAATCCAGATAGGAACAGATTAATATCATACTTTTGTGTATATGTCAACTGTGTAAGTAGCAGTAATTGGACCGGTCATGGTGAGTGTGGTCCACAAGTTTTTGTGGAAACTTGTTTACTTCCGGACTGGCGGCTCGAACTGCTTTTGGAAAGCTTCCAAAGCGCATGAAGCCTTCGGCAAATGAGCTTTTACAGGGAGGTCAATTCATTAGAATCATCTTATGACAATCTATGTCTTAGATGAGAATTATTTATTGAACAAACAGACTGTGTTCTCGTCTTGCCCATTAGTTCAAAACTTGGGTCTTGGCTTTTATGTTATGCTGCTGAGGGTTCTGTTGGATGCGAGACCTATTGTAATCGGTTGATTAGTTTGCATTTTACATTTGACTCGTTGGAGGCCCACTAATTGTGCATCACAGTGGCACTCTCAAAACGGGCTGAGGATTCGTTTATATAATGGACGATACTGAAGAAGCATAATTTTCCCAAGTTGCTCGATTTTAAGGTACATGTCACAAGGTGCAGTCTCCAAATATACTTCATCAATTAAAAAAAAAAACGGCGAACTCATGATTGTTTACCTTTACAAAAACCCCAAAACTGAGGACAAGAAAAAAAAAAAAGAGGACGGCACACTTGGAAGTTTTGAACACAGCTCGTTCATAGCAGTAACCCTGTCAAAGCTGCAGGTGCGAGTATGTCACTTTATCCAGCGTCTCATTTACACAAGAGCATGTGTAAATGAAAAACTAGATAGTCACATGCTCATGCTAGCTGCTTTGACAGCATTGTGCATGTGTATGAAATTGAGTAAAGACTTAAAATTTGACAGAATGTGGCCTTTTATATACCAGATGTTTGTAGAAACAACCAAAATTTTACCGTAATAATTGCAAGTCACACGTGCAATTGGCACTTTGTTGGCAGCTTGGCCTACCAGAAAATGTGTTGCATTCAGGATAGCTAAGTAACTTGAATATTAAAACCAAGGCTATTGTTAGAACAAAAAATGCAGATATTGCTTAGTTTTTTTGTTTGTTTTTTTTGTTTTAACTATAAAGAGCATTATAAAGCTATGAATAAATTAAAATCAAAAATCTTCAGAGCATATGCTCTGTTTTCTTGTACAAAAAAAAAAGAAAAAAAGTGCAACTTAGAGGTGTGGGCAGTTTGGCTTCATACCAGGTGCACCTCTGCTCCAATGGCCATGCCCCCCTGGCCAAAGCACTGTTCTCCCTTAACGAGTCCCCGCAACTTGTCTTTCTTCCGCTCGGCGCTGTGCTACTTTATGCTTTAACCGTGGGGAGCAGAGCCATTGAAATGGAAATGTGGCCAATATGAAGCGATGTTTCTGTAAATGCCATTATTGTAGCACTGTGCATGCGCATGCTACTTGCCTTCCAACAAACCGGTCATGGAGCACGAGCAATGTCCTTGTCTCACGTGGGCAAGCGTGTGCCTGGGTGAAACAGCGTGCGGGCCAATACAAAATGTGTGTGTCACTTGTGCTGGGCTTTGTGATTTTTCAGTGCCCTCCTACTTTGCAGAGCCCCCTCGGCACACGTGCCTGTGTCCCGGGCAATGTCAAAAATCAATTTCCTCGGCTTAGGGGAGCGCCCCTCGGGTTTTCATATGGTTAGTGCTGTATTTAGAAATTGTTTGTTTTTAAATAACTTGTTTGTCTAATAAACAAACAAACAAACCAGTATGGTTGCTTCAATTTTTAATAGTAAATGTTCTTGTCGGAATTAATTTATCAGTAGTAAATAACACAATCATTCCATAGTTGAAAATGCAACTCCTTTCTCTCATTCCTCACTTGTATTTAGCCCAAGAAAGCATATCAGGAGAAAAAGAATTCGCCACTAAAGGACGGTGGAAGTTACATGCTGGTTGAACCAGTCAACCATCCGTCTCACCAAATGATCACACACAGCGCATACTCTCGCTCAGAGGGCAGTGAAGGGCAGGAAATTGATTGGTCCGGTGAGCATGTAACATCCACTGCCCTGTTAATGGTGAACAAAGTGTAGGGTGTGTTGTGAAATGGGGGGGGGAAAGGGGGCCTAATGCAAATGACAAACCAAGGTGAGGGGTGGAGTTTCTAAACTGCTTTTCAGTGCAAATATCGAGACGTTTAAAGTTCTTTTAGCTCAATACCTCCCTTCCGAATTGCCAGGAAGTTTTTTTTTTTTAAATATGGGTTAGTGGGCACTGGGCAACCCACAGTTTCTGCACTTGCAGTGAATGCTGCAGTGGGCCTTAGATGTCTCTGGTCTGGAAACGGTTCTATTAAGCAGATTTCCTTTTTCTGAGGCAAAGTGAACCACCGTAGATATGTTCGCATAAGTGGTGCAGAAAGTCAAGCGGTCAATGTAAAGATGCCACTTGCAGGCAAGGCGTTGCAAGTGCAGACCTAGAATATGGATCCAAAGATTTAGTACAAAGCTGAAAGATCACGCATGATGTAACAAGCCCTTACCGTACCCTTGGCAAGGGCAAGGCAAGTAGTATCCATGCCTTGCAAGCTTCCCATTTTGTATATCTACAAAGTTTTTGCATTTCCCCTCAAAATTGCACCTGTGCATCCCCAGAGTCGCAGGTGACAATTGCATCGTGTTCCTTGGCATGGTAGTGAGCAACTGGACACTGCCCAAGTGGTATAATGAATGTCACGAGAAGGTGAGCAGGAAGCAAAAAGTCCTGAAAGTACCTTCAATAGAAATTCAAGATACATGTACTTTTTTTCATTATGAAAGGCTAGAGAGAAGTATTTCAAGAAATGACTGGATGCTTCCAACCAGAAACAGTGATGCCCACACACACGAGGTATGCTCGTTTGTACCACTCCTCGGGCAAAGTGGGTGTGCAAGACTGCCGCACGATTTTCAAGCACCACTAGCTCTGTTGACCTGAAATTAACTTTCTCTCTGAAGATGGGCGTGCTGATATCTAGCATGCAAATATGATCAGTGATGATATTCGGGAGACCAAGTAAATTTAAAATAAGCTTAAAATAACAAAAAGATACTCCAAAATATTTTTGCCTTGGGGGATTGGGGGGGGGGGGGGGGGGGGGGAGGGGGGAGGCGGGCGAGGTGGGGGAGGTAGGGAAGGGGGGGGGGGGCAAAAAATAACATTTTTGAACTATGATTTTCTAAGGCTTGACACATCGTCAGAACTTTTATTAACACGGGATATTCAGCATAATTTATCAATATTCTTTGTTTTCTCTTCGCACCAACTCGCAGCTCATTTTTAGCTAGTAGTTACTCTTTTTAGGAAACTCACAAGATGGGAAAAACTTTCGGTTACACTTCAGCAGTTTCTGAAGACAATACCAAGTTTATGTATGCCACTCCATTTATAGGAATATGCTTAAGACCCAGGGAAGGCTAAAACACTTGGGGACAAAAATAAAGGTTAGAAATTGCACTTTCAAGTTTGGCATACCTATAATACCCTTTTTTCCTTCCTCTTCCTACTACAGCGAAGTGTGAAAACAAGAGTTCATCCCTTTTGCAAGTGTTTCCCTTTGACAAAAGTACCATCACAAGTAATATGAGCATGAACAGCCCGCCAGGCATATTTAGTGCCCCCGCCAATCGTTAAAGATGGTTTGGTCCAAACTAGTGCTGGAACTCAAAAATGTTCCAGTCTCTGAACCATTCGATAAATTGAAAGAATGGGATTGTGGAGACGTACTGTAAAATACTGAGCACCCGCCCATTCCACATAAAGTGCCTACCCCAAAATTTTGTAACATCTGAAAAAATATGCACAGCAAATATATGTAAAATCGATAACCTAACAAGTGCCCATCCCCCAATTTTTTTGAGTGGGCTCTTGCTCGGTATCTTATGGTAACTCTCAATCCCCATTACTTCATTGGGGAAGGATAAATGGATCAACAAAATACACTTTTAGGAACCCAAGACTTTATTTTATCACAGTTACCATCTAATTTCAACTGTGCTTCACAGTTAAAAAAAAACAAAAAAACTGCAACATTGCTTTCATCAAAGAATCTTCTTTCATTTAACAGCCTGCAAGCCTCCTTTATCAGACTGGTTTCCGCGGTCGCACCCCTTCCCCAGAGGAGGCCACTGAGCATTCTCACCTACAAGCTTGCATACGGTACATTTTTTTATTCAAGAAGCTTCAAATGTCCCCAGAGGCAAACATATTAGGAGCAATTTCATATTCAATTCCTGTTGATCTGAAACAACAAATATGGTTAAAAGGTTGCATTCACTAGCTTGTCTTGCATCTTCTATCTAGTCTATCCCTCGAAACAGAGACTAGAATATTTTGTTAGACGTACAAACTTCAGCTGAATACTGCAACCTTGTAAAAAATAAATTGCACAACAAAGCCAGTTTGTCCTTGGAAACCATGCAACACTGATGAGATGACGGCATGACCTTCAGAGGCCCATGGTGTGAGAGCGACCACAGGGGTTGTGCACAGTGCCCAAATGAGGTTGCTCCACCAGCCACTCGTACCACACTTTGCGTTTTGACACGCAGCGCCAAAAGCGAACTTCCAGGGTAGACCCCTTGACCAGGTTCACTGGATCCTGTAAATATGGCTGCCATTAATGAGTAGCCCAGATGGAGCAAGGTTCACCTTTGCTAATAGTATACAGGCCCTACCACTATGGCTAGAGCCAGAGTGTTTGCAAACTCTGGGTAGTAAAAAAAAAAAGACAATGAAATGCACAACAGTGAAAAAAATGGAATGCACCGTAGGCATGAGAAACAGGAGGGCCATGAGACTTCTAAACCAGGTGCTGTCGTTGAGAATAAAATATCTAACTCTTGACACCATCCGTGAGTATTAGATAGACTTAAGCACCGCATTGGGTTCTGTCTGTACAAGAATCAAATAAATGATAGTTTAAACGTTAGTCAAGCAGTACAGATTAGATTAGCTGTCCCGGAAATAGTGTTATACTACCAGGCTCACTTTCATCTTCAAACTTCTGCACAAGTGCAGATTGTAAAGATAACAAAATAAATTGTGATTTAGCCATAACCTCGTAACAACAGAACTGGTTACAACAAACGTTCAGTTATAACATACTAATTCGTGAAGTTTGGTTGGTCTTCCAATCTATGCCATTGAGCCAACTTTGCTTATCACAGATTCTGTTATAACATACATTTGAATATTATGGACTATATTAGGGAGTTTGCATGTAGATCAACATTCCATTATCACCAACTTTTCGACAGCAGTGATCATTTTGGACATTTCCACGGCTTTGGTTTGGTAGCGGTGGCATCCATTTTGCAAACTGCTGTCATAGCATTAGACATCTAGTGGGCCTCGCATGACCCAAAGCGCACAGTGATGATGATCATCAGTAGAGCTCAATAAAATATCACTACCTTTTGAAGTTCAGATGATTCAATAAACCAGTTGTTTTATAATATCCATTCACATTTTGTCAGCCTCATTGGTTAGAACAGACTCCCGTCATAATTCCCATTAAAGGCTTCTAGTAAGAGTATCTGCATTCTGCATACTCCTACAACAGACCAAAATCTTCATCACTATCAAGATTGGCTATTGTAATGAGCTCGTACTGTATCACCATTTATTTACCTTAACTACCTCAAACATTGATGCATCTAAGTGAGGTTGCAATACCAAAACTAACCTTGATGGGGAAGTAGATTGGAAACCAACTGAACATCCCAGGAGAATGTGAGTTAGGGTAAATGCCTGGAAAGAGAGAAACAACACAAACACACATAAACTTTGCTCTCCCACCAAAACAAGCACGATCACAGGTTTGGTTCTTGCTAGTGAAATGGAAAAGGAGGGCTCGCACATTTTGAAAGCCTATAAAAACTACACTTCAGTGTTCGATGTTCAACTATGTTCTGCTAAACTTTTCTAGTCACTGTGATAAGCTAGCATAGCTTGCACAACAACGCAGCCCTGTGCTGCTGCTAGGGAAGAGGTAAAGATGACTGAGGATGCTCCACCCTCCATACCTGTCAAATTTGATTTTAATAAACCACTTCACACATGCATGATTTTAGTGCTCCATCCTCTAAGTGGAAAGTGGCTAAAATCTGACTGGAGAAGCATAGAGTGTGTTTTGGTTTAGTGTAATTAGCACTGCAGCTGGAGTGAAGATGTGAAAATTGTTATATACTGAGAAGTAGGCTACACCTAGTTTACACACTGCTTTAAAAAGACAGGAAATCATAATTATGAACCCACACAGCTACGTGCTCGAGCGTGGTCCCTAGTGCTTGGGTCGATGGGAATGACTTCATCACTATATACTCGGTTCACCACAAAGCTGACAGGGCGGTGGAAGCTATGTGCATGCGGACCAATCAATCACCTACCTATCCAGACTGACCTTGCACTCTGCGAGTATGTGCAGTGTGATCACATGGTGCAAGACCAACGGCTAACTGGTCCAATAAGTATGCATCTTCTACCACCCTGTCAGATCAGCTGTGAACGGAGTTTAATCGTTTTCTACTTATGCCGAAATAGCCGCACCACCACACAGCTCCCTGCAATTAAATCAGGGCAACTAATTAAGGGGAAGCCCGGTTCAAGACACAAAATTAAAAATTGAATTGTCAAAAAGACACTAATTGAAACGAAAATCAAGAAACACTCACTCAAGCTGATATCCTTGTAGAGAACACAGTCAAAATAACCGGCAAATCCATGCAGGACGTAGTTATCCTTGATCTCAAACTGGAGGCTCTTATAGCGACTGTTGTCAATCTTCTCCTCTGTTTCAGGAGAGAACAAATTGTAAAGAAAATGGCCAGAACAGGATAGAAGTGAGCAATTAGGCACCATACTTTCTCTCCATGCAATGACACAATCTCAAATTGCACCTTTGTTAGGATGGACGAACGAGAACAGTGGTTGTGGACTGGCGGGCACAGCAATGTTCTGCAACTGCACAACGTAAGGCATCTCGAATGCAGCCTGCAAAAGAACAGAGGCCATATAAATTAGAAAGCGTCGCGGAAAGCAGCAAAGCAAGTCTGAAAGCTGAAGGTCAACAGGTATTAAGTGAAAATAAAACCAACAGCAAACAAATACAGTCAACTCTCATTAATTCAAACTCTCTTAAAGGGGCACTGCAATCGCATTTAAGCATTTAACTTTTTTGCGTCTCTTGGTGTTCAGGCAAGCCAGTGGGCAAGGAGAGAGTAACTAAATATCAGTGTGTCATATCTTCACCGGACTACACAGAAACCTCCTCCACCTACGGGGGTGACCCCGCGGTACCGAAAGCGCGTGATATGTGACGACATCGTGACATTTTTGGTCCTGGGCTTACTACTGGTCCGAGCCGCTAAAAGCTTTTCTTTTGTTGAAATACAACATATAAGTGGCATGAACTGTTTCAATTATTTGTGAAAGTAGTTTTTGTTCAGTATTCTAGATCAGAAAAGAAACAAATGCAGCTTATAAAGTACGGAAACAAGAAATGACCCGTCGATATACCCACCACCAAGCAATGGAAAAGGCGGAGCATAGTGGAAAGAGGTAGTAGGATCAGGCGTCGACGAGCGGCGAGTGTAGAATGGTCCCGGATGTATGCGGCAGCGCTGCAGTCGTATGGGCTCGAGGATCCGACCGGTTCTGAGCGTTCCGAAGGCCTTCGGCGAGCAGGTATGGCTTGCTGTTTGGCCTTTTGGCGATATGGCAGCGCGAAGTGGCTCCCATTCTGAACTATCTTTACCCCGTGTTTGCTGTCATTTATGGCCAATGAAGTGTCATGCCGAATTAGTGTTTAATTGTGCAGCGAATGCAATGCGAGCCACCCTGGCCGCCCCCGCTTCATCCAGCCTATCCAGCACATGCTTTAGAGGTGCCCTCTCGAGCCGTCGACACGCAGTGCGGCAGCCATGCGTGCTCGCTGAGCTCGCTACCCATCCTCTAGTTCACGGCCACTCGAGCAAGGACCAAGGACGTCATGAAGGAGGTTATTTTTTGCTTGTTTATGTCATTTAAATTTGCCGATAACTTTTAAAATAAAGCGAGATTCGAGAAAAGAAAAGTTTCGTTAAGTTACCTACTATGTTCAGTGCGCTCAGGTTCGGTGCAATTTAAAAACCAGTAAAAAAGTCGTTGCAGGGCCCCTTTAAGGGGTGACACCACCTTCAAGTGTCGACTTTTAAACCAGTCGCTCAATGTTGATAAAATTTGGAGGCTCTATTCATCTCGTTGCCTAAATGCATGGTATGACATTTAATCTCCGTAGCACAATTTTCGGATGAGCTACAGGAGGAGGTACACAGCTATTAATGTAAGTTGCCTCACCTGGCAAGGAAATCTATCGTATAAAATTGCTGCACAATACTGAGCATTTCTAAGCTTCAGCCTTAACTAGAACATATGGCGGGTGCAGCTATCTACTTTTTACCTTAAAATCCATGTTTTTTCTATGCAAAATGTCAATTTGAAAAGCATTCCACATTATGGGGCATTTTCTCCTCATCAAAACTACTTTTTGGCAATAAGAACTTTATTTAAATAGAAAAATCAATATCTGGATGCACTCCGCATAAATTTCAGTTCAGAAACATCCATAGCGAAGAATACATTCAGCGATTCATTGAAATGATAGATTTCCTAAAATGAAAGTTGCTGCAAAAAAGTGAAACTGAGAAAAACCTGTTTGAAGTTTCCACACCACTACATTAGATTTTACTGGTGGTGGTGGCAACTAAAAGGCACCAAGAGCGTAGATGGTGCCCTCTGCCTACACTCAATCTCCTGCATGGCTTTGCAGAGTGAGTCCGAGCTTAAAACGCTTTCTTCAAGTGTCGTATTGTTTTCAGTATGGGGACATTGATTGTGAAACGAGTGAGGAATTCGGTACGCTTGCAATACACGAACCAACATCAGCAAGAATGGGCGGGGCAAGCATCTTCGAAATACAAAGCAGACAAACCCACGTGATTTTCTATAAATGAATGCTGATTTTAGTCAGTTTTGTGTTCAATCAGGGTGCGCTTTTCGATTCTTGGCCATATGCATAGCCTCTTCTACATGAAAGCTGGACTTCTATGGTTTGCTTGCCTGAATAGAGTTTACTCTCAAACAAAGATATTTAATGTACTGAAACTGTGAAGAAATGCTCTTTCCAACGATAGTATGATCAGCATTCTAGGGCATACCGGTGCAAAGCTACAGCAATTTGAAAATAGGAAACATAGAAGTTTCACATTTCAAAAACATATGATTTTGCATCGTCGGCTTACCAAAAATGTTTTATTTCTTTGTAATTACTTCAGATATTCCAAAAATATTTGCAGGAGTATACACTATTAGTTGTGGAACCACAATACATAAAAAACAATTTCTCAAAAATTGCAATTTTAAAGTGGTGTCCTTCCTTAATTCAAACTTGCGGATAATTCAAACTAACATGCAGGTCCCATCCTATGCGTCTCTATGAAAGGAAACTACCAGTCATTCACTTTGTTTTATTCAAACAAATTTTCAGTCCCCCTCGAGCTTGAATTAACGAGATTCGACGGTACTGTAAAACCCTTTATTTTCGCGTACCCTGATTTTTTGCGAATTGGGCAGCAGGGTCATATTTGCGACCATTAAATTTCATGATTTCTAAAGGCTGGAATTCGCCTCTACAGACAATAGATATATAGGGGCTCATAAACATTGTGGGTTTTACAGTAAGCAAATTTCTTCCTTGGATTATCAAAGGCACTGTGTAAGGCACCAACTTGCCTTACACCGAAATAGTTTATTGCATTAACATATTTCCCATGAGAGGAGATGCTTACACTGTTGGGCATCTATTTAAGCAGCAGTCTGTAGCCTGTTGATGGCATTAAAGAGCATTTGTGCAGAAAGTCAAAGCACGACAAGTATTTTTACTGCATTAGTAGCTAGGCATATGTAGTACTACCATAAAATACTGAGCAAGTGCCCATGGAAAAGTTGGAGATAATAACGAAAAACAAATAGGGATGAGCACTTGTTAGGTTCAAGAGCAGAAAAACAGAAGGGGCACATGGTAGGGCAGGCCCTTGTTTGATTCCACAGAGTGTAATAGGAGCAGTATGGGGGTCTGGCAAAACCCTTTAAAGCAGCTCCATCGGTCTCATCAAGCCTGCTTTGTGTTGGCGCTCTTTCTTTACCACTTTGCACCAATGCATGTGTGTAAAGCTTCACCACTTTGTATCGGATTCTTAGGGAAGTTGACACGTAGCAGCAGTTCGGTGGGCTCAAAAGTTTGCTGAGGTGGCTGACTAATATGTCCTTTGCCTACATTTCAAACATTTCACAGGCGGATCTTCGGTGCTTATTGCAACAAAGGCACATGCTCTGTATTTTACGGCATATCACCTCGACTTTTCTCCACTAAAGTCACACTTTGTCCTACCATGTAACATGACGTTGATTATGTTTTTCAGCGTTTCAAGAGAAAACCATTGATGGCTATTGCCTTCAAAAGCAACACCAAGAAACTGTCCAAGGCTGCCAAAATGCACAAGATGCTGCTGCCAGACACTGCCACATGAGAGAACCCTTGCTTGCCAGCCCACTGCTCTGAGGATGCTACCTATATAGAAAAGTGGACACTGAGAGTGAAAATGAAAGGAATGAATGGCTGGTGACAATCTACTGCAGCCATCTGCAATTATCATTAAGTTCTAAAATGCTCCCTACCTAATTGCACCTAATGACATAAGAAGAAAGTTTCCAAACTGTTATAAATAAATAAATCTTAAAAACTAAAGACACATTTTGTTTTTTGGCAACTAGTTGGTTTCTTGTAAACTTCTAATGGTCTTAGTACCCCATGGAAACTGCTATGACATCTATTGCAGAAGAAAGTTATACTAAGAAAGAAATTAGCAGAGTTTCCAGACCAGAGACTAAATGGCCATGACAGTATAAGCTATGAAATGTAAGCATGTAACATTACATCTAAAAGAACAGCATGCCTGCCATCATACTAGGGCGACACAGTGGCAAAAGCATGAAGCTGATGGTGTCGTTTAGTACTTTGTAGAAACTACAAAAAAAAATGTAGAAAAGAAAAAAAATGGCATCAATCAGTTTTTTTAGTGATCCTTACTTGCATGCTTTTGTCTGTACAGTCTTCCTTCAGTCAGTTTTCTGTTCCATTTTTAGAAGCCTACCATCACCCATGTACCAACTGCATTACACGAGGGAACTTTTCTTTGCTCAAAATTCCCGAAAGAACGTGAATTTCCCAACCTGGTTCACAAGGTGAGCCAAAAGGTTTTTTCGAAACCAATTTTCACAGAAAAAAACTGAAAAATATGGCAGTGCTCAAAATTGCTACAAATCTACCCCCGAAGCAGCACGATTTTCCCCAAAGTATGAACATGTTCAACCAGTTCACACTTTTTCACCAGCAAACAAGAATAACACACTTTTGAAGTATTCATGTGGCTCTAATCGAAGAACCAAAGTACTACAAGCTAAGAGCTATGCAACCCACGAGCAGGGGCCCAACCAACACTGAAGGGCATGAACACAAACCAGAGGGTGCTTGTCCTTCTCCCTGAGTGAAGCCACATCACTGTACAGCTTGTGTGACTGGATGGGTCCCAGATAGGACTGGTACGAGCAAGGGATGCTGATTCCATCATCTGCCGGGCCACCATACAAGAAAAAAGCAAAAGGCACGACGTCAGGAAAAACGGACGTGCTCTGGATCCAAACTTAGCGCATCAATATCTTGGGATCGGTGGCCGACTGGGCTAACGCATCTCAGCTCGAAGCGTGGAGCGAAAGCTTGCGCTGCAGAACCTCCTGGGTTCGATCCCCACTCCCAGCCCGTTTTGATGTGGATGAGTTTTGTACCGGCATACATCTGTAGAATCACTACTGTGTGGTGCATGTTAAAGACCCTGCAGGTAGCGGTTGTACAGTAAAACCCGTTTAGAATGAACCCTCGTACAGCAAATTCTTGTCTATATCGAACTCACAGAAAATTTAAATAAAAATGCATGTGAAAAGTACTTTCGATATTGAACAACACATTGGCTATATCAAACTCTCCCCCCCCCCCTTCCCCCCCCGTTGGAACACATTGTGTATAGTGATGTGATGAAGCACTTGGAAGATAAACAATTTTTAGAGCGCAGCTCTTAGGTGCCCGTTTCCGGCTTGAGCGGCGTCACCGTCAGCGTAACTGTGAGGTCACCTAACCCCCCTGAGGTCATGTGACCCCCTTTCCTTAAGGTCATGTGACCTCCGTTACGTCACGGGGGTCACGTGACTTCGACGGGTGGGGGGGGGGTTCACGTGACCTCACGGGGGCCACGTGGCCCCCCTTCGTGGAGTAGCAGGCAGGATGACGAGGTGAGGAGGAGGGAGGAGGGGTATACCCTCCCCTCAGTACCCTTTCATCCTCCTCCTCCTCAAGAGCTGCGCTCTAATTCGGCGTTACAGGGAGTTGTAAACAGCTTTCACTTTTTTTCTCCAAATCAACATGGTCTTTGCAAAGGCGTTTCTTGCAGCACCCAATTAATTTAACTCTTTCACGATTCGGTTAGGGTAGCTGAAAACAAACGGCAAACTGACACAATTTTTATTTGATTTTCGCAAAGCGTTTGATTCTGTTTCTCCCTATTTGTTGGTACATAAAATGAATGCTCTAAATATTGTAATACTATACTCACACGAATAAAAGACTGCTTAGGAGACAACAATGTGCCGTCTTGGGAGGTAAGGAATCTAGATATGTGGATGTAACTTCGGGTGTCCTTCAGGGGTCTGTTTTGAGGCCACTGTCATTTTTAGTCTTCAATAATGATTTAGCATCCTGTGCCTCTTCTAGTATCAGGTTATTCGTGGATAATTGTGTAATTTACAGAAAAATAAGTAGTACCGCTGAAGTGTCACTATTGCAACAACAGGACTTGGATCGTATTAGTCTTGTAGTCTACGGTACCAGAATTGGCAACTTAGTTTAAACACAGGAAAGTGTGTTCATGTTACATTTACTAAAAAGAAAAGTAGTACTGATTCATCTTATGTCATTGGAAGGGACCTGCTACAAAAAGTGCCTGAATTTAAATATTAAGGTGTTATTCTCTCCGAGAACGTGTCTTTTAATCAATACATAAATATGATTCCAAATAAAGCGGGTAGGGTTCATAGTTTAGTCATCCGGAACATGCATACAACTCCGCAAATTCTAAAAAAAAGCAGTATACAGTATTGTGCATTGGCGAGACCTAATTTAGAGCATGCAAGTGCCGGGTGGGACCCGCACCAGAAATACTTAATAGATAAGATTGAGGCCATACAATATAGAGCAGCTAGGTTTATTCTCAAAAAATACTCAAGGGAAGAAAGTGTCAGACAAATGAAAGCTTCTATCGAAATGGAATCTCTTGATACCAGACGTAGAAAATGCAGACTGAAACTTATTTATGCTATTTATAACAATCTAACCAGAGTTAACAAATCTGTATATTTGAAAACGCCTCATTACATCTCAGATAGGAGGGATCACCGCGATGAAATATGTGAAATAAAATGCATGTGGCAAATACGCCAAAAAAACGCAGGGACAGAGAAAGAAGTACACAGGATAAGGCGTACACAGGGCAAGTAGAGTAGAGTAGCCAAACTCGCAGTGGAAAAAAAAAATGCCAGACTAACTACATTAAGTTTTCTTTCCCAAAAACCATATCGAAAACCACATCTGAAAAGAACGACCTGCCTGCAGATATGGTATCAGATAGCGAATCGTTTTTACAGCAAAGCTGTTATGTGCTAGGACCTGGAAGAAAATGCGTCCATGGATGTTAACAAAAATAAAACTCGTTTAAACGGTGCTCCTTCGTTCCGATTGGTCGTGGCAAGTATAAATAAAAAGAGAGGGCAACCCGCATGAGTCAGCCTTCCTTAGCATTATTAGATAGTCGGGTCGTGATCCCTTGTTATTTTCTACGGTCACCGACTTTTCTCATTTAAGAGTGCGCTGTGAAGAGGCTGAGGGCAGAACGTGCTGATCTAACCTTCTTTTCTTTCGCTTCCGCGATGCTGATAAAGAGCCCAAGTAGCTGTAAAACCTAAAGTAGTCGTATACCAACATATACCGACGTCCAAAAACAGAACATGTATCGACCTCATGCTTAGCAAGAACGTATCCGAAGTCAAAATACAACCAATGGCGGTTGACCATAAGGCAATAATCACTTTAGTCACTAAGAATTAAATAAAGACAAAGTCGTGTATGTGTCTTCATTGCAATCACACGTAAATCGTATAGATGTCGTATAGTTGTCATAAATTTGTCGTAAGATAACAGCTTCGCTGGTCTTCCATCTTCACGTGAAGTGGATGGGCTCTACAATTTTTTTAAATTATAGATGAAATGTGAATATTTGATCTTTGAAGTGTGTTGTGCTGACGTGTTTCAACTTGTGATGGCACATGCTGACGTGTGGATGATTTTCATCTATGTTACTAAAGCATACGGTGCTGCAGTGTATTTACCTGTGCTGATGTACTGATATGTGACTGATGATATTGATCAATTGTAAAACGATATTGATCAATTGTAAAACTCACTCCCCTGCTCCAATGCTTCGGCGCTGCGGGGTATTTTGTAAATAAAAATAATAAATAAGCTAACCTTTGACCAAGTACACAACAAAATTCACAGATGTTTTAACTGGCCGAGTGTGCCTGTTTAACCACTCCTTGAGTGCCACGCCCGAGTATACTCGGGCACGTTCCCAAGGGTTTTAGTTTTGGTATGCTCCCTGCCCCACCCAAATGGGCTGTAACTTTTTTTACATGTAGTGGCATGTATAAGCAATCAATTAAAACAATGATCTTTCTTATGGTATCACTTTCTGATGGCATGTATTTTTTTGTTTTGCTTAGGCAGCTTGTGATTCGTCATGCTTCATTGTTGTTACAGAATGGCGAATCTATGTCGTTCAACCTCATGCTTCATGGCGAACACAGAGATCTAGAAATGACTAATGAACTTGGTATTCAATGACCGTGAAAATAAGGAAGTTACAGTTCCGATTGAACAAAGGCCGAGCAAGGGCGCGTGAAAGAGTGACCTCAGGGTGAGAGGTCAGGGTGCCACTGCATAGTACCATGTCTCGAAAAGTATGATAGAAAAAATATGCCATAGGTTGAAGGCATGCAGACATCAATTAGCATTTTGCTTATAAAGCAGTGTGTCTTTTATAAATAAATATTCTTCACACAGCATGCTACAGCGTTATCGAGACCCAAATTTGTGTTTGTTTGGCCCCCCCCCCCCCCCCCCCCATGGGGAGAAAAACAAAAACAGCACTCAAAGGGTTAATTTCCACGCAAAGCCTCGCACAACACCTTCCTCGTGCGTTTTCAGTTGCCACTTGAAAGTTCACACCAAAAACCAATAATGTTTTCTATTATTGTCACTTTCTTAAAATTCACTATTCTCAACACTATAACGCGGGCAAAAACATCACTAAAGTCACACAATTTACCTTTAAGGAATCTTTGGGCACCATCGAGGCACTCAGGAGCGAGTTCATTGTCACCGAATGATCCCAGCAGCTCCGACACCACAATGTCTGCTTTGTCAGGTGGCTCGTACTCCCTCATGTCACAGGAAACCACCGTAACTTTATCTTTCCAAATCTTCTCTTTCAGAGACAGCAGCCTGTATTCAAAGCACACGTGCACAGAAAGGAGATGGCATGCACTTCCATCCTTATAACACGTACGACACAATAGCACAGTAATAGTGCAATGCCTGGAAAGCATCTTCGACCGGTGTGTTTAGCGTCCTTTTCCGCCTATACATCAAAAGCGGTCCTGAAATGGCAACAAATGTGTGTCATGGTGCTGGAAGTCCCGTGGACTGTCCAGCTGGCGAGCGACCTGCAGCACAACAGGCGTCTGCCACATCCACCACCGCTGCTGCGACACCGCCAGAGTCGCAGCCGGCGACAGCGTGACACTTCTACAACGTCATCAGGTGGAAATCAAGGGACCATTTCTTAGGACACGGTATGCACACCAGTCAGTCGGAGACGTGCTCTAGGCACCATAGTAATAGGCAAACCTCACGTGAGAACGGCATTGGGGTTTTTCTCAATGGCATAGATCTTAATCTTCTGGTCAGCCGTTTCCGCCGCATTCAAGGCAGCACGCACCAGGGGGCCGCGACCGGCACCCAGCACCATCAGCACACTGCGTTAGAGGAGATACCACGAGTAGAGTACGCCGCAGAAATCAGTTCAAAATATGCGACACGGCATGATAATCGAGTTGTGTGTATGTTCAGACAGCGGGTAGTTAGTCAGCCCCAATAGGCATCTGGTGTGCCTGCTGTAGATGAGAAACTTTGCCAGTGCGGTACCACTGCTAGCACGGAGTCTTTAACATACACAATGCAGTAGTCATACCCAACTGCACGCCAATACGATGCTCATCCAGATCGAAACGGACAGAGCTGGGAATTGAACCCAAGATACCTGGGTTCGACAAGAAATGCGGCAACATTATACAGTAGGCTCGCGATAATTTAAACTCGGACATTTCGTACTTCTGGTTAATTCAAACTAATTTCACAATTTTGGTTGTCCGCTATGTTTTTAATGTATTCATAAGCCGCTTATTTCGAACGGCGTTTTCGTGTAATTCCTACTTTTTGTTTTCGCGGCCCCGTTGAGTGCGCTTCTTTCCGAGCACCGGTGCACTGCAGAGAAGCAACACCCACGAAGGCAAGCTCCGCGGGTGTTGCTTCTCCGCAGTGCATCAGTGCCCGGTGAGAAGCGCACTCAACGGGGCTCAAGCAGGACACACATGACTTATGAAAAAAAGGCTCGAGGTACACCTAAGCACTTCTTACGACGAGTTGTGAATGCAAAAGCATGCATGCCGCTCTTCCGCTCCCTTATTCCGCCTGCAGCGTACTTGCGTCGACGGTTGACAGCGCGCGCTATCTCTCCTCGGTGCGCTGACCTGGAGCGGTGGAGCCGCTGCCTCGCGAACACGCAGCGCCATGGGGTGGCGGTCGTTGAAAGCGACGCGCAGCGGCCAATGGGATCTTCGTTTCTTGAAACTATGACGCGCGCCAGCCATGGGACTGAAGCCGAAATCCATCAGCTTCACTTCGCTCCTTTGAGATCGGGGAAACTATAGGTGCCGTTTGGCTAGGCTTTTCGCGTGGTTTCAAAGCTGGGAGCCGGCTTCACTGGAGAAAGCAGTTTAGGTGCCATTTGGTGCGGCTTCAAAGCTGATGACGTTGGCTCGCTTCATGGGACAGTTCATCGAAACGCGCACCACGCAGAAATTTCCATAGCAACTTGCGCGGACACTGTGACGTGGCCGCATGGCATAGGTCCACGTCACAGCGTCCGCGCAAGTTGCTATGAAAACTGCCGCGAAGTGCCCGTTTTTATCGCTCATCTGTCCCTGCTTAATAGTCCACATTAGACGACTCCTTGGCCTGATGAAGAAACGTAATTTTGTCATTATAAAACAAAACAGCGCAAAGACAAGGACGAAGCAGAAGAAACCACAGGACACAGCGCTGTGTCCTGTGGTTTCTTCTACTTCGCCCTTGTCTTTGCGCTGTTTTGTTTTATCATGTCTACTTACCAACTAACCCAAACACCTACGTCAATCAACTTCATTTTGTGTTGTCATGTCCTGTCTAAACAGTCCACGATAAACATTTCTGAGATAAATAAAGTTATGTCATACATTTTACAAATGTTTAATGTGTGGCATACCTGCTTATGAACAGTAGACCTATGTAGAGGAAATCATCAAATATCTGCTTTATATGTGTAGCCATTCATATGGCAAATCATAATTTTATCTTACATAAATCATCAAATATCTGCTTTGAATGTGTAGTCATTCATGCGGCAAACCACAATTTTATCTTGCATCACATTTAGATGAATTTCTAAATTCAGACTTCCGATAATTCAAACAAAACTTGTGGCTTGGAGCTTGAATTAATGAGTTACTGTAATGACATTGTGTGGTAAAAAAAAAGATGTTTACAACACCCTGTAACGCCGAATTACAGTGCAGCTCTTGAGGAGGAGAAGGGAACGGTACTGAGGGGAGAATATACCCCTCCTCATCCTCCCCGCTACTCCTCCCCTCATACTCATCCTCATCATCCCTCGTCCTTTCTCTTCTCCCCCCTCCTCCTCCCCTCCTTCTGCTGCTCCTCCTCCTCCTCCCCGCACGTTGCATCATAGGAATGTCCCATAATGCACCGCGCAATTACACCGACGGCGACGCCACGCAAGCCGGAAACGGGTGCCTAAGAGCTGCACTCTAAAAAGAAACACTTGCCAATAATAGTTTTATACATGTGAGTTCCCTTCTTTAATTACCCTACTTTCAGGACTAGTCTGCTGATTATACATGTTGAAAAGTTTATATTTTACCTTGTGTAGATTATCTACAGTTGCAGACTATACAAGGATTTGTTTTTCAAGAAAGTTTGTAGCCACAAGACAACTCACTGTTTTACACTGGTCAGCAAAAAACGTCCCAAATATCAGTTATTTCCACCCTCAACGCCCCCTCTCCCCCAAGTGACGCACAAGATGGCTGCCCCTAAGCTGATAATGGGAATCAAGCTATATTTTAATGGCACAAACACCCACTGCCTCTGAGTGTAAAATCGTTATTACAAGCAAATAAGTGACTGGGAAGTTTTCAGAAACCATGGTCCCAATACCTCTAAAATAAAAAAAATAAAAAAACATTTGTGCTCATTTATGTTTCTATTAGAACAATATGAATTATGAAAATAATGAAAACTATGAAAAGAGAATGAATTTACATTTGTATTGCTTTGTAGTCATCACATAATGCTATCTGTCAGGGAACTAACGTACTGAGAATTTTTAACAGTGGTAAGACATGGACGAAGCCAACACCTGGTCCAGACTATGTAAGCCAGGGGTCTCAAACACGCGGCCCACGACTCGCTATGAAGTGGCCCCAGGGTCAAGCAGTTGCGAACACCCGTTCCCATGTCTCGTACGCTATACAATCCCAAATAACGATCTCATGTTGTCGGTTCATTTCACGCTCGAAGCGCAGCTCTGCTCAACGTGCTCACATATTTTTTTGCTATTCTGCTTTCTTTTGGACTGAGAATTGTTTCACCTTATTTTTTGCCTTTTCTTCAGCTCTTTCTCATGTTACTCACCTGTATGACAATCCCACTCCTATGCTACAAGCGCAAGCTCTTTAGGACGAACCTCTGCTACATGAACTCTTGCTCAGCAGGAGCAACTTAAAAAGATAAAACTATGAGCTTGGGTTTCTAACAGTCAAGAAGTACTATTAAAACATAAGTATTGTCTTATAATGCTGCTACAAAAATTGTTAAGCAAGCAAAAACTATCATATGAAGAGCTGCATTTCTTCTAGACATGTTGAACTTGTTTCATTCCCGAGAGAAGTGAGAGACATGGCAACGACAGTGTACTTGCTTTCTGGTTCTATTGAAAAATGCAAGCACGTTAGCAGTGCGGTGTCATTTTTAATTTTGTCATGACATCAGGGATGGGCCCAAAGTGTCACATGAAGAAATCAAAGCTAAAGGTGTTACCGCTAGAACGGCGACTTTATGAAAAGAAAAGCATGAGGTACCTTCTCTATAAAATCTCAAATATGCTTTACGAATTTAAAAGTAGCGCTAAAGACGAGGACAAGTAGAAGACACAGACACGGACAGGCGTATAACCAACTAGCCCGTCACATGATCCTTGTGCTCAAATATGCCGCTGAGAGACTTGGCTACTTCGCAACGTAAAAACTACTGCTGCTTCTTTTTTTTAGAGCGCAGCTCTTAGGCGCCCGTTTCCAGCTTGAGCGGCGTCGCCATTGGCGTGGCTGTAACCGTGGCAACGTTTCGGCACTGTGCCGAAGCGTCCGCGCGGGGTCAGATGACGTCACGGGGGTCACGTGACCTCAGGGGGATCACATGACCCCCCCTGAGCAAGGTCACCGGAGTCACATGACCCCAGTGAAGTCACATGACCCCAGTGACGTCACGTGACCCCCGTGAGGTCACGAGAGTCACGCGACGTCACGAGGGTCGCGTGACCTCACGGTTACGCCGACGGCGATGCCGCTCGGAGGGAGGGGTAGCAGGCAGGATGAGGAGGTGAGAAGAGAGGAAGGGTATACCCTTCCCTCCTCAAGAGCTGCGCTCTTATTCGGCGTTACAGGGAGTTGTAAATGGCTTTCATTTGTTTTCTTATCCTTGTTCCAAAACAAAATCTCCTTTCTTGTCCCAAAACAATCTCCCCTTCCAGCCCTGCACCGGCTGTCTACCTTTCAGGAACGGGCTATCTGGATCCCACACGCAAACGAGTTTGAGACTTCTGACGTAAGTAAACAGATTTTTTAGTTTAGTCCAAATTTGCACCTGCAGGTGTGAACTATATTCCAGAAAATATGGTAGATGTGCACTTCAACTACCTGAAAACAACTCACCACCATGTGATTAATTTGTGAAAATGTAGTCACAAAGGGAAAAAACAGAGTTGCCACTGTCTGGTCACTATAAACTATTCTTGTTGTGTTCAATTCCAGGTAGAGTTTATCATTCCCTAATAGCACTTGGTTCAAGAATAAGGTCTTGTTATAGCCAAACACCATGTTTCACCACTGTAAAACAAAATTTGGTCAGCCTATCGAATGGCCTTTAATTACTCACATTTCAGAGCTTCCAAACTCTTCTTTTCTGTCTGTTAGTGCCATATAGATAGCCTGAAAATTTTAAGAGGCATTACAAAAACTTCAGCATATCTCCTCATACAGGTGCTGCACCACATTACAAAAAAAAGAAAAATATTAGGTTAATTTAAACAAAGTAAAGGCTAACTATAATAACTACAACACTACTGGCCCTACCCTAATTACTGAAACATGCAAGGTTTTGTAAAAAAAAAGGTATTTATAGTACCAATACTGGCCAGCCAAAGTTTTCTCTTTTTACAATCTTGTCCAATGTGCACACCTCAAAATCGCATGCAGTCAGCATCTATACTAGTACATCGCATCCGTATCCAATTCAGCGAATGTCCAGAAAATTTATCCATTTTTATCTACATATGCCCATACTGTTGTAGATACCCGTGTGTATGCAGGGCTGTGCCCATGCAATACATAGCATTAGTAAGGAATATTCACCGACATCTTACTGTCAACTTGCATCTCAAGGCACTAAGAAATTTACTCTTTGGTATTCGGTGTACTTCACAGGATCCTTCTCGAAGATCTCGTAGGTGACCGACTCCAGGTTGTCCATCAGTGGCTGTTGGCAAGCATCAACAATCAGCAACACACCACAATTGCCACACAAAAAGAGTTCTGAAATCCCTCCATGGGCGTTAACCTTGTTAACATGCAAAAACTTTTCCAACATGAATTGGCCACAGTGCCCTTTCCTGTTTATGGTGAGAAGTGTTTGATGAAGTTAACTTTCCAGACTTTCACTGTGACCAAGTAAGAATGAAATGAAACACCAACCTGCAGAGGAATTTGGAGCTGATCTTCGTAGCCCCTTGCAAACTCACCCAATGGGTTCTCTGGTGGCTGTGTCTAAAAGAAGGACCCCAGAAAAAGGCTCTGAGGATAAAGAGCTTTCTAAAGTTGAGTGGAAAATACCAGAAGAGCACATACTGGAGCAAGGATGCCAAGAAAATTCCATCAAGAAGCAAAACCAAATCAGGAGCCTCAAACTCACATTGTAGAGATGATCAATGTACTGGTAGTAGTGCCTGATGTGCTCGTGATGGCAACTACCTTCCACAAGAACCTGGCAGTTCAACTGCAAACACAATGATATACATTTTATTACATGTGGCACACCTAAGTGTCTAGACTCTAGAGCAGGGGTGGCCAAACCGCGGCGCTTTGCTGGTCCAAAAGTGCGGCTCGCAGATCCCTCGTAAGCCCCCCCCCCCTACCCCCATACGCACAGCCGTACAGCCTTGTGCCCCCATACGTACAGTCAGACTCTGAACAAAATTTAAGTTTGTACCCCCCCCCCCCCCCCCCCCCGCGGCCCTATGAAGTATCGTGGTTTCGTCTGCGGCTCTTTGGCCGGGTCGGCCTGGCCACCCCTGCTCTAGAGCAATGGACCAATCGGTGTACTCCTAGACCATAAAACTTCTCCCCATTGCTTGGCTTTACTTTTTAATTATTTCTTCACAGAAGTGGCTTTCATAATAGCTGCCATCGTAACAATCATAGGTACACGTATACAAAGGGAAGCCACAATGGCTAATAGCACTGAAAAACAAACTGGCAAAATCGGTACCTAGAACATAGAATGCTTAAACTTTCGCCAAATGTGCAGTTAGGTTAGCTCCCTTCCTGTGAGAGATTGGAGCAACGAACATGCCAGAGTCGATGGTGGACGTGTTCGCAGACGACCGAGTTAGCGATGGTATTAACTTGTGGCACCATCTCCCGATAAGTGCAATGAGCAGGCAACACACTCTTTCGCCTGCTCGCTGCGCTTATCGGGAGATGGCACCGAAAGTTACACCCATCACTAACTCAGTCGTCTGCAAACAAGTCCACCATTTGACCCAGGCAATTTTGTTGCTCTGATTTTTCATGTGAAGGGAGCTATGCCTTGAAATTTCATTAGGTAAAATATACCTCCTAAATGCACATTCGGCGAAAGTGTGAGCTTTCTATGTGCATGCACCCATTTTTCCGGTTCGCTTTACAACACTAGGATTCATTCTGGCTACCCTATATAATGTAATATTGTAGAGGTAATGTTTAAAAAGTTTTTGCAAGGAATACACACCTTGAAGAACTGCCTGATCACTGCCTGATGTGACTTTGACAGCACGGGGTAGCCCTTCTTGTTGGTTAGAAAGAGAGTTGTGGGCACTAGTAGACACCAAACAGGCTCTCCAAACCAACGTAGCAAATGTTCCTCGCTCGGGAGGTTGGCAGTTAACCGCAGTGCTACCCCCAGGCGCTTGTCTGTGGCACAGATGGTACGGAATCGGTTCCACCTGCACAGTATTCCCATGTCCCATCAGAACAGGGAAGCATGCACCACCCACCAGCATGATGAACTCGTTTTCAGTTTAATCAGTTTGTAAGGCAAATAATCATAAATTTATACTAGAACTCAGTCACTACTGAGTGACAGGGGTAGCTCCACTATGTGTTAAAATTAGGCCACAGACTTTTCGGTTTTAATCGAAGACCACCGATGAAATACATTGGTGTCAGAAATACATCGGGTAAAACTGAAAAGGAGACATTTCTGGAAATTGTTTTTGCTCCAAGTGAGGACTATTTTTGTCTAAACGCTCCCTCCATAAATGCTTGACCGGCGCGTAATCTTACCTACAATCAAGCACCATGCCAGTCCCAAATCAGTGAAATAGCCGACCTTGGAGGACAGTGGCATGAGAGTTATTTCAGTCAGTCGGTCACCATGGATGGTCACTATGTCTTCATTCTATTCAGGCTAGAGCTGGATGACAGTGTTTGAAATTGCACTGGTGGTTATTATCGGTTGAATCTTGCGGAATAAGCAAGTGCAACTTGCTTTCCTCATGGCCTGATTTGTCTACCGGAAATTTAGTTTCAACGATAATCACCATTTTTAGCATCCACACAAAATGAATAGACAAAATACATTAATTTTTAAATATAAACAAAGACTGAAAAGCATACACAGGTTCTCTTCTTGTGTGAAATTGTGAAATTACTCCAATGAGGTGAAATTCAAAAGTATATAATAGACCACATAACTCGGATTACTCAATGTTGTAGGTAAAAGAGGCAGCATGCGATGTAGAATGACACAGTTAACACCAACAATTAATTGATGGTTTTCACCAGTTCTTGGCCGTTAAAAAGTCTAAGAGAGTAAAAGAATGTGCTATGTGGATCCCACAGGTGGTGGTAAACTTCAGCGTTTAATTTTATTGTGCATATATATATATAAGTAAAATATGAATAACCGCGTTGTGCTGTGTACAATCATATACACCATGGGTTCTCAAACTGAGTTCCTAGGAGCACAGGGGTTCCCCAGGTTCCCAGATTTCCATTCCCAACCCTGCCCCAAAGTGTTTTTCAAGTTTCAGCACTGTTTTAGTAGATCCGAGTCACCTACTGATGCCTACATACTATGGCCCAAAAAATCCCTACTATGTGCGCTATTGCTTACAAGGCCTGTAGGCTTCTGCACTGCTTTATCGTGCCAATGCCAGGACCATGAAAGGGTTCCTTGGCTTCCCTTTGAGGAAGATAAGTTTGAGATCCCCTGATCTACACCAAGTTATGAGAAGCCAGCTCACCATTCCCAGGGGTCCTGGTCAGTTGCATCAGCAGCCATGCCATCACCTTTGCCACTGGCTATTCCTGCGCTCTGGCAAGAATGCGGTGCACCCTCAATGCTTCCCGATGCGATGGGCAACACAATCCAGATGTGGAACAGCAACTGGAACCAGAGCCATTTGCAGGAACACAAATAAGTGATCAGAAATCCCGATAAATAAGATATTAAACTGATATTTATTTCCGAAACGTACTGCCACACATGTAACAGTAAACACTTAGAAGGTAAAAAATTAAATCCTCGCAGAAATGAAGTTGTTTACGGCATTCTTTTACGTGTCACATACAACACAAACCCTGGTAACGCAACTATAATAGAACTAAACACAACCAATGCATTTCTCGTAATACCTTTAAGACACATTCACTTAGGAACTTGCTTTTGCACATCCTGATGAATGGAACTGCCTTTTAATGAATGTCATCTTTCTAGATAATACTTTGTGTGTGATGGTACTGTGATTACATTCAACAAGCTTACCCTCCTTACTTGGACTCACTGCTGGCAGTATGTTTTAAACAACAAGAAAAAATATGAGATGAAAGAAAAACTGTGCTGCCTGGTAGTACCTGGTAAGAAACACCATTCAGAAGGTAGTTATAGATCAACCGGGCAAGGTTCACGCAAGCGGGTCCTTTCAGGTAGATGATAACTGCCGGAGCTCTGACATAGGCAGCGTAGGACAATTCTCTCTCAAGCACCTGAAAGGAATCCATTCATTGGCCCATTAACAAGTCACTCTGAAAGATGTGCACTCTGAAACAAAGCTTTAGTGGTACACCCTACTACCTCCATATCCAGTAAACCACTTTTAAAACACCTTCAAGGTTTCTTGTTTTTTTAAAAAGCAAGTACATACAAAAATATTGAGTTGTTTTGCATCATGTAGCTTGTGCATTAAAAAGGTCGCTTCAAATTAAAGCTTTTTAAAAATTATTCAAGCAATCAAAAGGTAAAGATATATATGGGAACTGGCAGAATTCCCATAGCATGTAGATCTGCACGTTTTTAGTATTTCAAATTATAAGCCTTTTAGGAACCTTCTCGGCAACATCTAGGATTTCTAGCTAAATGCACTTTAAAAGAGACGTGCGTGCAAAGGCTCACGCTTTCTAAGAAAAGAGTGTGGAAAGGCTCAAAGATCAAACCTCTTAGACTAAAACAAAGTCATTTCTATCAAGTTTAAAAAACCGTACTGCATACGTGTAGGGTTCGGTGTTTCCGATTAAACCAAAAAAACAACTGAAGTTGCTTTTTCAGCTGAAAATTGCCAATATTTTAAAGCCGTACGGCACAGCCGAGGGGTGATAGTAGAAGGGGAGTGGGCGGAGGGGAGGGCAGAGCATCATCCTATGGTCATGCAACACACTTCCCTATCGAGCTGTCAGATTATCTTCAGGATTGTCCTTTTGTAATGCCGAGGTTGGGTTCGACAAAAAAATGCAATCTTTTCAGGGTACTGTTTGGGCTTGCCTTGTGGGTTAAATTTGTGTTTTCATTTACGATTGAGCTTTGTGTATTAAGTCCACAGTCCTTTGAAGGTGGGTTTGTACGTTTTTCACAGTCCAAAGTGTCCCACAATTACTTAATGTATGGGGACATTTTCAAAGTTTCTGTCAGAGTCAATGGAGAGTCAAGCATTGCAACCAGAGTTTTGTGATTACATAAGTAAGCAATGCTTCGAAACCTGGTACTGGTTGTCTTGTGGTGCTTGCATTTGACCAACTGGCCAGCTCTAGCTATTGTAGCACTTCATACCGGCAGCTTTCGAATTTCTGCCGTAAATGCACGGCCACTTGTACGAAAAAGGAGCATAGAGTGAACATGGCAAATGTTGAGATGACATTTTCAATACTAATGCATCATTGAAGGAAATAGGAAATTTACAATGTTTACTACTACTGGTGGTGCAAAAATGAGGATGATTATCATTCGCATTTTAGCACCACCAGCCTTGCGCCTGTTGCACAAGTGGTAACTTTAGCGCACCACCCGTGCTAAGCGTGACCACCTTCCTGTTAGCGAAATGCCGGACATGCTGACCAGGGAGGAGAAAGGGGCAGGGGGGGGGTGTAAGAGAAGGATGGTATTATCACAACTGCGACAACGGAAAGAAAAAAAACATTTTAGAGAAAATTTATCAACACGCACACCACGAAATGTGGTTCTGCTAACACATTTAATATCCTGTGCTGTCTGAAAGCATATATTAAACACCTGAAAATTTTATTGCAGCAATTAAGCTGAAATAATTTTCACTCCCAGTGATATATTTTTATTTTAATGCCAAATGTTATTAAATGTGTCTAAGTTGAAAACATAAAAATCGACTGCAGCAGAACTCAATGCATGAACAAGAAAGAAGGAACAGTAAATCTTTTTTGGTTTCTTGCTTCCTATCAATGCTTACTTTTACCAACACGTTCCTACACAAATTTAGACCCTTATGTTGTTTTTTTAGACCATAGCGAGATGCAAGCTTTCCACCTTGTGTGGACATCTTGATTAAAAAACTTTCCACATCAACTCTTTTGCTTTAATACAGCATAATTTGAAATCAATTACAATCATTTATTTTGCAATATTTTGCCACCAAGGGGAGAGGCACAACAGTGCATGCGCATTGCGTCTCCACCAAGAACAACGGTCGCTTCCCGCAATGCTTGAATAGAAAATGGTGCACCATTGCAATTCACAACGATTACCATCGACCTCCAAACTTCCCCCTGCCCTGTTGTTTGGCAGTGCCACAAGTTTCGTAGTGAATTTTACGACAGGGTGAAATACAGGACGTTTTGAAGACTTCGGCGTTTCTTGTGGGACGCAGGGCACGAGCCCTCAATACGGGACAGTCCCACAGGTTACGGGACGAGTGGACACCCTAACTACGCTTCCCACAAGCTTCAAGTCCTTCTAAAATTGACCGATTTAATGGTTTTTGATGACGTTAAAGTTTCAATTAGAAACTTTAACAAGTTTCCAATTGGAACCACACGTTAATTTTCACTAATTAAAAAGTTCATCACCAAATTTTAGTTAATTATTTGACTCAAACGTGACAATCAGTCCCCTATATTATGTCCCCCTGGCAGTATGACTCACCAGCACAGACCGCACTATAGCCCCAGAGCACATGCCTACCGTTAAATACCATGGATCCGCCATTCCACACTAAGCGCCCACTCCCAAAATTGTAAAATCTGAGAAAATATGCACAGTACATTTATATGTAAAACTGATGACCGGATAAACCGCCCATCCCCCATTTTTTTGCGCTTATCTCCAAAGTTTGAGTGGGCACTTGCCCGGTATTTTACGGTAGGAGGCGCCGCAGTCGAGAAATAGTCAGCGCCTCCACCGGCAAAGAAGCACAACGATGGGAAGTCGCCGGCGAGTCGTCTGCTCCTCCCGCCCCTCTTCCTCGTTGCTAACTTCAAAACACGGCCCTGGCTTGTTCAATTGCGTATGTCCCCGCATGTACTAAAAATGTAGGGACTGGTTTATCGGTGGTAGAACTAAGCTGTTCTTTTGGTATTGTGAACATAATGCTCCAGGCATATTCTGGATAATCAATTGAATGCACTTTGACACAGAAGGCACTCATGCAACAAGGTATCGGGTTCACTTCCGTCTTGGTGTGCAAATCATTGTAATTAGCACTCACCAGATTATGTCTGCCCTTAGTTGTTTTTAATCGAAAGCATTAACTGTCTCATGGAGCGAGCCGACATCATCAGTTTGAAACGCGAAAACAGCTCCTAGTTTCCACCACGCTTCCAATACGAGCGATTCGCCTTCGGTTCCATTGGCTCGCACGTGTCGACGGGGCTCCCAATGGCCGCTGCACCATGGTGTGATGATATGAACGGGATATAGAAGAAGAGGAAGACAACATCGCAGATGCTACAGCTCAGGCAAGCTCGTGCAGTGCGGTTTTGGGGTTGGACACAGAAGGAATGAACACAGCTCAATGCCGTGGGCCCCAGCAGCCAAGTAATGTCCCAGACGGACGTCTGAGGCCCGTGGGGGCACTAACCAGGCTTGCCGGGGAACCACCGCCGGCACCGAACATCAAGCCCTTGCCATCCAGAAAATGCCTAGGGCATCCGAGGTTCCGACAACACCAGAAGTATGGCAGCGAGTGAGCAGAACACCCCAGACTTGACTTTGTGTATACATTTTTCGTGGTTACAATAACATTATTATTCCTATTCTTTTCAAACAATATAATTTTCCTCACATCCACCGTGTCGGAATCCCGAGTCCATACTTCTTACCATCACACATGGCCTCCAAGCTCCCGAAGCGCCCGCGCGCGCTAGTACGCAGCAGACGGCAAAGGGAGCAGACGAGCGGATGACAAAGGGAGCGGACGAGCGGCTTGCATGCTTTCGCATTCACAACTCATAAGAAATGCTTAGGTGTACCTCGAGCTTTTTTATTCACATTAACATTTTTTTGTTGGTGAACTTTTGCAAAAAAACTTGTTTTATTTTTAGTTTATTTTCTATCTAATATATATGCATGACCAACCTTTTTGGGATTGTTTACAAATCGGAGCTTAAGTCACCATGATATATGGCTGGTTTAAAATATGTAAACGCTGATTTGTTTCGATAAATGAAGAAATTAAAATTTAATGACTGCCATCAAATAACAATATCAAGCGACACAAAGGCAGCCAAGTTGGAATAATATTTCGGTATCTCAAATAAAGTAAAGCCAAAAATGTACCCATCACCTTACTAATTTCTTCCGCCGGCCGCATCTTATGGCGTGCGACTGGGGCTTTAGTTCTCTCCTTAAAGAAAACACACCCACAAATGCAGTTTTGACAGAGCATTACAACAAAACAAATCAATCACTGAAACACAGCACCATACAAGTGATCGCTAGAATTCAGGAAGATAAAATAGGTAACAAAATGCAGCATTTTATCTTCAAACATCATTGTTACCATGTGGCCCCACATGTACAAAAAGCAAAGACATCGCGCTTATTGCTTTCGCTGTTTCACACGTTAGGATGACACACAGTAGATTTATTCGCAAACTGTAAAAAAAAAAAAAAAATGGCGATCGTACGTTTGTGCTGTTGTGCGCTACGCCAACGAAAGTACAGCATCTTCAACGGTGAAAATGACGAACCAGACTTCCCATCGTTGCTGGAGTTGCACACCAGAAGGCGCGACCTGTCAAGGCAAACTCCACTGCACTGTTTCCATGGGCTCCTTCCAAAAAGAACTTCAAAAACTTAGACTCTTTCATTTCAGTTTGCATGAAAATGCTTGGGAATCAAAGGAAAGGATGAAAATGCTTGGAAATCAAAAGAAAGAAGACTTACTGTTTCTGACAACTTCCTCGTTAGCTCACTCGACGAATCAACATCAAGCCATTGAGAAATCTTCAAAACCACCAGGGAGCTCCAGTCTGAACATTCAAAGAAACCCAAGACCTGCTTACCTCACACTACATAAAAAACTCTTTGTTCTGAATTAGTATGTGCAATTGTATCCAACAGGATGTGCCACCTATAGACTCGTTGAGAAAATGAAGCGTCTGCTTCGCAATACTCGTTTTCACCTCAAGAACCATAGTAAATAAAGTTGGGCTCCTTGCAGAGCATTACTAATTTTCCCCTTTATGTGGAAAATTAAGATATATGCACTTGTATTTTAGATTAGATATGTGTTATCTTACCAAGACCATACCAGGTTCGCTTCCTCCGGCAACCAATTCTTGTAACTACTCTGCACGGCATATGAGCAATGTGCAAAACTTTTTTTTTTTCTTGAGTTGAAAACGAGTATAGCGTAATTTTGGAAAGCCAACCTGCAAAATATTTTTCAGTACGAGTGAAGATCTTTCCTCCTCTCACTTTGCACTGATTAAGAGTAAACGGTGGACCCTTTGATATAAACTTCTGAAGACAAGATAAATCATAAGGAACATAAAAGTAACATTTCAGGAGGCTCAGTAGAGGCTACAAGGACTTGGTGCACTTGCCCATTCAGGAAAGCATATTCTACAACTCCCTCCTACATTCTTAATGGACTAACCAAAATGGTATCACCAGAAAAGCATAAGAACAGTGGTCAGTGTTTGGCTGTACCTATTACTACAGACAGTGTGAAAGCTATGGGAACAAGTCCCTTGTTTTGAAATGTGTTTCAACCACATGAGCCGGAGTACTGCCAGAGCTATGAACACGCACTTATAGCCACGATTCTACTGCTACTTTAAGACAAAATGAAGTACCTAAAAGAAGCTTGCCTTCTTGAGAAGTAACAGTTCAACCTTGAAGAAGCCGAGTCTCTTAGCAAAAAATATTGGTTATCAGTATATACTATTCTAAATTGGGCCTTCTGGACGGCGCTATTTTAACAACAGTAATGCCGCCTATCTTCATTTGGGAACTTATAGAATCTGAAACTGTCTCACTGTCAGACTTCCATTACTGAACAGTATTACAGACTGAGCATGCCTTGCATGATACTGGTACCATCGCAAACCAAACCACTGCTCCAAACCTTGTCCTCTACCCAGGAATCGATTTCATCATATTTATTTATTGGATTAGTAAAACATTAAAAATCGAGAACACCAAATGACAGCTGCTTCTGCGGCATGGTTGGAGTTGCCGGAAAATATGACTCATTGTACACCTTTCTCGACATAGCGGGCATCACTTTTTATTTGATGTATATTATCCAACCATTCAATCATTCACATCAAAAATATTAATCATATACTTACAGGATAAAAAAATAAGCTCTAAAAGTTATCTGATTCTGCATGACCGACGTTAATTTCGGCAGCACATTTTCATTCCCTACCAGGCAAAAAATGTGGCAAATAGGCTAGTGATCTACAGATCACGTAACTGCTCTGTTCAATGACTAAGTTGCTCTCCGCTTACATTTTCGTCGTAGCCCACCTTGACCATCGGCACAAGATTTTCAGTAGTTCGATGGCTGTCTCAAAAATAGTGTGAACAGATGTCACAGCTCTTTGGCAACTAAAAATATTTCCAGGCTAAATTCAATAGCTACTGGCACTGTAGGTCTAGATCAACAGGGAATTGCTTCAGCATAAATATGCCACATCTATGTGCAGCATCAGCATTAATTCTACACCAGTAGGTCATGCAGAACGTTTCAATGTTTAATTTATGTTTGTTACGGTTATTTGCACAACCAATAACAAAGCAACACTGCCCAGTCTACTCCTTTCTAGAACATGACATGATACAGAAAAGAAACAAAAACAAAAAACATTAAATAGCAAAACAGTGCTTCACACAGCTCAAACACCTCGCATCCCTACGGTGTACAGGTGCTAATCCAACTGTTTCTAACAGTTCCTTCGGTGCTGCAGATGACATTTTAAGGGAAAGAGCACTGCATTCTAGTCCGAAAGGAGTTTTCTCTGTCTGCTTTGACCTAAATGAAACGGTGTACAAGATTCCACCCGGGTATCTCTTTTAGGCGGAAGTGAGCAAAGATGCCTCCCCGAAACTGAGCAAAGATGTATAATAGGTGAACTCTAAAAAACAAATAAGTAAGCATACCGTGGGAAGAAAGCACAATGTCAGGATGTCTAAAGAGCATTGGGTTGCTCTCCAGGTTCCGTTCCGCTAAGTTCTGGGCATGCTGTGGGTGGCTGATGTCAACAGCAACAAATTTGTACCTAAGACCCAACAAACACAAAAATAAGTTTTTTTGTTTTTTTTAATTATACACCAGGTGATATAAAAAAGTTTCCAAACTCACTCTACAAAAACAAACAAGATGACCTCAAGTTTTATTGGCTACCACCATCTACCTCAAAGTGGTCCCCTTCGGAGGTAATCCAACGATCCCAGCAAACCTGCCATTGTTGGAACATCTTCTGGGAGTCCTCCTTCAGGCTGTTCAAAACAATCCTCGTCTCTTCCTGCATCTCAACAACTGAGCCTAATCTCTGTTTCTTGAGGGTCATCTTCATTTTAGGGAAATTAAAAAGTCACAGAAGACCAAATGAGGTGAGAGATGGCAATCACATTGTTTGGGACCAGAAACTGCATCTTTAGAGTCTTAGCAGATCAGTTTTGGATGTGTGGTACAAATTTGGTGGCAAATCATCTAGTTTAATTTTTCAGTCAAAACAGCTCGAGCTAAAACCATAACTAATGTTGAGTTGTTCAGGTGTCCAAAATGTTTCTCCGACTGTCTTTATAAATCAACAAATTAATATTTTGGAACATCTTTAGGGGCAATGCCCGTTGAAGGGCGTTTTGTTTGTTCACCCTTTTAAAGGGCAACTCTGATCAATATTGTTTAATTTGGGATTACAACAGTTTTCACCTGAAGCAGTTTCCCTGAATCACAAAGTATAATTTTTTTTTTCCCCCGATATTGTGTGTAGAAGTTTTATAAATATCACGGCTCAAAGTTTGTTTTTGGTTTTGGGGGGGGGAAGGTCTACGGCAAAACCAAAACTACCTGCTAGGGGAGGGCAATATTGATCATTAGCCGTACGGCTGCGACGTGACGTCACAAGGGTACTGCGGTACGAGGTACAACCAATCAACCGCAGCTCCACCGCGAAGTGACGTCAGAAGGGTGCTACGCCAGTGTTCCTTGACTAAAAACTAACCCGCTTGCTGTCCTCTTAAGAGCAGCTGGTCCCATCTTTAAAATCATTTTAGTGGAGTATGTGGCTTCACTTTGACATAATATTTCGGCTGTGATCATACTTCATGCCACTAAAGCAATATTAGTCCTTTATTTTGGTTTTGTTTTTGACCGGACTTGGCCTTAAGCGATTCTTGACCTCGTTTAAAATGTGCATGCCACTAACAGATTCACATCTTCCCTAGAATACAGTTACCAAATGCTTGCCACAACACATTCTGGGTTTCTGATGTGCCCTTGATAATCTTTACACAAAATCGAATGCATGCACACTGTTAAAGTTTTTTTATTTATCTTAAGCGGCGAGAAATTGATGAAATATGTTCCAAATAAAGAAGTGCAACACGGAACCACTTTCGCTCTGCACAATGAGTTTTGGCGTACTGACTGGCAAACTGGCTGGGAAGATCCCCCTGGCATTGCACAGCAGTACCGGTATGGTACCTGGAGCATGTCTCCATCTGTTTACCGCATCCTCAAAAGTGGTCCCCTCGATTTCCACCCGATAACATCATAAAAGCGTCGGTCTGTTGCCTGTCACAATCCTGGTGGCGGCACGGCAGCAAAGGTAGAAGTGGCAGACGCCTGTTCTGCAATAAATAGCTCTGCAGCCAGGCAACTGATGGAAATCAAAGCGTACACAAGATGGGACGCTGCAACAACAGTGACCCGCGACAGTATGACAGACCGGCTCCTGCGACACAATTTGTTGCCGCTTCGGGACCACTTTTGGTGCATGGGCGGAATAGGACAGTAAACACATCCATCGAAGACGTGTTCTAGGCACCGTAGTACTGCTCTGGATGGATGGATGCTAACAGCTGCACCCTTTGTAACGGGCAGTAGCTTGCACCACCTAGCCTGAAAACCGAACAACCAAAAATATGATTCCTCTCCTCACCCTTCTAAGCCAATTTCCTTTCCCTTTGCATTTTCATAATTATTGCCGGGCAGTGTGGGATATCGCCAGATTGAGCTTCGAGGGATTGGGGGAAAAAAAAAAAAATCACCATCAGCCTCCTCCCCCCTGCGAGAGTGACGCCGACTTTTCTCCGATTTTTCTCCGGCCACATGTTGTCGGCGTTACCCCAACACCGAGCCCATTGGGAGACAGGGTTGAGACTTTTGGCCAGAGAGCCACGCGGGAAGAAGTCCCAATTTTTCTCTGTCCTGCCCGTCTCCAGCTGTGCTAGTCAGTTGGAAATCATTCAATAGACCTTATGCGAAATTGCTTGGTAGTCTGACAATACTGAGAGCATCATTATTTTAATGTTGGCAAGCGTCGTTGGTACCGAAGAATAGTGGAAGCATAGGGGACGACCAATGTTGTCTCCGATGCCGCCCGTATAGGAGACAACCTATATGGGCTCTGTGCGATGGCGCGGCAGTTGTGTTTCGCGCCTTCTGACCATGAAATGTGGACAAACAGTTTAAACAGCCTACCGCAAAGGTCTGACAAAACTCTCAGAGGTCTGTGCATGCTGGCGAAAACATTGTCAAAGGAGCGGAGCAAGTCCTATGCCTGTGCTGTGGAACACTGCAGATTGTTGCCAGCATGCACAGGCCTCCAAGAGTTTCGTCACACTTATGGTACGTCGTTTAAACTGTTTGTCCCCCTTCCATGGATGGAAGGCAGAAAGCACAGCTGCAGTGCCATCACACACTGCCAGTATGGTTGCCTCCGACACCTCCACCGTGCTTCGGTACCGATGACGCTTGCCAACATTAAAATGGCGTCGCTCTTAGTGTTTTTAGACCATAAATCAATTTCACATAAGGTCTATTCTCTCTAGATAATTTCCACCAATCTTCTAACCTCTTTTTTGTGACTGCAATCCTTTCATTTTTGTTCAGTGTTGCCAGTTCAGGAACTTTGCGAGAGAAACGGCTGGCTTCCCAATCAATATCCAGCGAGGTACCACAAAAAGTTAGTTTCCTTAATATATTTTAAAAAGTTACTGGCTTCCTTAGTCAATGAGTGTCAAGAAGCGGCCGTTAGTCAAAGGATTCTTGTCAGTTATATTATAGAAATATGTTCTCATTAGCCACCAAAAAGAACATGTAAAAAGTGTAGCCAGTAAAAATAACTCCATGTTTACAATGGCAAAATCTTCCTACATTAAACTCGTAGGGGTATGGCTGAATATCACGTGAGCAAATGGATTTAATGTAATGGCCTAGATTAGAGATGGTGTGCGATAGCCTCGTCCCACTAGAGCGACAAACACCGGTTTTTGTCCGACGACACCACAAAGTTCCGTGTCGCTAATGCTGTCCCACTGCAACGACCAACACCCGCAACATTCGCCGACAAGCGCCGACAAACGATCGACGACGAACGAGTTCTTGTCTGTCGTTGGACTTCAAGCGCAGCAAGCAGTCCCACTGAGGAATCTCTCTCGGAGAGAAACTTATCCTCCTCGCCCGTTTATGCCTTCTGTTGCCTCCCTTCCCACCCTTCTACCCTTCCTCCCGGAACAAGAAGCCCTTGGCGTATACTCCTCGTTCCCGGCCCCGCAGTTCCGGTCCCTCGATTGCACGTGGTGGTCGCGGGCGCGGCTTGCTGGCTGGCGCCGGGCGGTCGTGTTGCGAAAGGGAATTCGTCGTGGCTGGTTTTGCTCGCGAAAACTTGGTGCGCGAGGTGGTGCTTCAAGACTCCTAAGTCTACGCCCCTGCATCAGGATGGATACACCCATGTGCGAGGACTGACCAAAGTAAGACCGCTCACCACGAAGTAGGACACGACGTTCCGCGGCAAGCCATTCCGGCAGGCAAGAGACTTGTCGTCACGTTCTGTGATAATCGGGATGCCGTATTTTCCACCAAAGAGCGCCTGACCTCGATCATTCGAATATGAAGTTATAAACATCCTCAAAATCAGCGTGAAATTCCGTGGCGCTAACCTAGAATGCCTCGAACGGCCCAAAAAAGGAACGATTCGGGTATTTCTAGTTCGGAAAAAGTTTGGTGTCGATTGTCACGACTGTTTACGGAAAGTCGTCAACGGGAAATGAAGAGAAGCAGAAGCTTTAATCCAGAAATAAAGTAATCGTCTCCACTTTCACCGTGTTTGTCGGCGCGTTTTATGCCCAAAGAGCAAAACACGAAAACCGCGTCGCCAGACTCTGTTCCTCTGCGTATTTTGAAGTGTTTTGTTCACAACTCCAGTCCCACTAGGAAACTAGTTTCCTTGCCCCCGTGTTCTGCGTCGTGTCCGCCAGGTGCGACGGCGGACTCCGACAAACAGACTGTCTGTCGCTCGTTGTCGTGTGTTGCTGTCTGTCGCTCTGGTGGGACGCGGCTATGAGTGGCCTTGATTGAATGACAATCGAAGTCAGCTCTGTACTTCACTCGAAACAAAGTCAGCTGCTCAAAGGCTCAAATTGCACATCTGTTAACGCGCACATTAAAGTTCGTTGCCAATGTTTAGTTTGCAAGGGCAAACGTCTCTTGTGTTTTATGGATTCGATGTGCACCCTGCGACTGTTTGACTCCATCACGGACAGTTAGGGCACGTGCAATCAAGCCACGGAGGCCCGTCGAAGCTCCGGCTTCATACTTACGCACCTTAACACATAGTAACAAATAACCTGGGCCACCCGAATTATAACACATACCCTGCACTGGTGGCTTCATTCACTGCTCTCGCAAAATCGTCAACAACGACCAGGTCGAGACCACACGACACGTCCTTTCGCGCCGCCATATTTGAAGTCACCGGATTCACGGGATATCCGTATCGTTTCAGCCGACACAAGCCAACATTTTGTTGTTGATAATATAAAAACTAAAATAAGCTGTGTAAATATACATGAACATTAAATTAACCCATACTAAATAGGCAACTAACCTAAGCAACCTAAGTAACCAAAGTAGCCGTGCTGCCTCGCGGGAAGAGGCGAAGAACCGGAAAAATGAAACTGGGAGAAGCGAGGGAGTTTTGAAACGACTTATAATTTATAACATAATGGCGTCGCTGAAACCAGGCCCGAAGCCAAAATTTGTTCGGGCTGGCGTCCTGGCGTTGGCCTGGTGCACGTCCGAAGACACAGGCTACCACAGGCATGTGTGGTAGCCTCCGCGGGCTGGGCTTGGGCCGCCGGCGGAGCTGGCGCTGCCGTCCCCTAAAGGCTAGTTCAGACATGTACAACGAGCGCGATACGTCCGTTGCAATTGGAGCGACCGGAACGACCGCTCTGCGCCGCGCCTACACACACATGCCAGAACATGCAACCACTGCAACAAGCGCAGCGGATCGGCAGCACGGCGACCGCTTCTACGCCGCCGTCAGCTGTTTCAGCGGTTCCTCTAAAAAGGGGACGCACCGCCACTCAATGCCGTAACAGAATATACAGACAGACAGTTTTCTATAGCCTAAAGCTTTATTAATATACATTTTTTTTTTCATGATAGGCTTGCAGGGTACAGTGGATAAAAGAGGCTCTGGGTTTTCCAGCTCCGATCGCCATCGGTCGCTTCAAGGGAAGCACCGCCCACGGAATCCTCCTCTCCCTCAGGTATCAACCTGAGGGAGAAGACGCCAGCGCGATGGCCATACTACCCGAGAGACTCTGCCGGGCGTCGACACCTCAGCAATCGAAGGGGGATTTATAGTGCATTTCACAAGCTGCGTGCAGCAGAGCCGAAGCTACGTGGCATGCCAAGGCGGTTCCACCTGCACGGCGGGGGGGTGGACGGAAATGTCCCTCCAAGGCCCCAACGCCTCTATTCGCTTTTCCTCAGTCGGCCTCCATAGAAGCCTCCGTGTAGCGTCCACAGTGCTGCACGTAGCTTGCGAAATTAACTCTAGGTCACTGTTGTCCCGAGGTAGGGTAGCTAGCGTGTGTTCCGTGCGGCGTAAAAATAAATAGGTTGGTTATGTGGTTTTGGAATTCGGGGAGAAATCGGGTTTAACCCGATTCTCCTGAAACAAGTTCGGGTGTAAAAATCGAGTAAAATCGGGTTTTATCCGAAAACTAACAACCCCAGATATATGTAGGTGCATTTTAGATAAATGGTATCTTACCATGACGTACACGTTCCAAACGCCAAAAGCCATTGCTTTTTTCTCCGACAACCAAATCTCGTAAGAACTAGGGAGCCTTCATGTGCGCTCTGCTAGGGTGATGCCACCCTTTGTAATACCACTCGCCGACAAACCAGCAGCCATTTTGGTTCTCGGCGATAATCCGTGGGGCTTATAACCCTCTTGGAAACAAGCCCCTTATCTCACAAGTTCGGAGCAGCGTTGTGGAACCCACGGAGGGAGGATTAGCATTTTCCCCCTCGGATGGGAGGACCGATGGACGCAAAGGCCACTTTCCGGCGCACGGGGAAACAATTAGAGGAACAAAATGGCGGTGGAAGAGGGTGGGAAAGGGAAACGGGCAGTTGGCATCACTCTATGCGAAGCGCACATGTGCCTTCATGTGCGCTTCGCATAGAGTGATGCCAACTGCCCGTTTCCCTTTCCCACCCTCTTCCACCGCCATTTTGTTCCTCTAATTGTTTCCCCGTGCGCCGGAAAGTGGCCTTTGCGTCCATCGGTCCTCCCATCCGAGGGGGAAAATGCTAATCCTCCCTCCGTGGGTTCCACAAGGCTGCTCCGAACTTGTGAGATAAGGGGCTTGTTTCCGGGAGGGTTATAAGCCCCACGGATTATCGCCGAGAACCAAAATGGCTGCTGGTTTGTCGGCGAGCGGTATTACAAAGGGTGGCATCACCCTAGCAAAGCGCACATGAAGGCTCCTTAGTAAGAACTACTTTGCGCGGCGTGTAAACAATGCGCAACTTTTTTTTTTTTTTTATGAGGTGAAAGCGGTTACAAGTAGTGACATTCTTTGAAGCGCCGACTGCGTAATGGTCAGTGGCGGATCTAAAGGAGGGGGGGGGGAAACGGCCGCCCCCGTCACCCCCCCCCCCGATGCAAATTGCCCTCCGAGAAGGGGAGGAGGAGAGGGGGTCGACCCAAACGAGGGCGACCCCCTCTCCTCTCCCCCTTCTTGGAGGGCAATTTGACATGGGTGGACCCCCCGGTGCACAAAAAAATGGGAGAATAGTATCCTTACAAGGCTTCCCGCACCCCCCAAAACGGAGTTCTGGATCCGCCCCTGGTGACGGTGCAGGTTTTAGGAAGCGAATAGCGGCGCACAGCAGGATACTGATCTGAATGAAGCCATTATGTTCCGCCGAAATGTGCTTTATTTCTACAAGTTGTTCTCGTAAAGTACGGCTGGGCCAGGCAGTTTCACACGTTCGTAATGAGCCGCCGCAGATTGTCGCTGCAAACTGGTAGACCGGGTAAGCCACCGGGGTTATGCAAAAAACATTCCAAATTAAAAAAAAAAAAAGTGCCAATTGTTTAATTATGCAGCCTTCCACCATTTCCAACTTCAACGTGAATACCAGTTCAGAATCGGGATAGCCATCGGCAAACATTAAAACACCCTTTAATAGGAATGAAAAAAATTAAGCAGTGTTATATTCATTTTCTTTGTGTGCCCCCCTACACTGCCCTTAAAATGATAGAATTTTATACTCTGGGTCACAGAAAAATGGAAGCAACCCTACAATCTCGTTGAACTTTGGTGTGTTGAGCAAACCAGCAACAAGGACAACAGCAGCAATTAACACAATTAATGAAGCATGTACAGTAAAACCTGTTTATAACGAACAGCAGGAAACGCTCCAATCAGTTCGACACAGCAAGTGATTCAATATAGCAAAAACCATTTACAACGAACTTCCACAACGCAATCGTTGTAAGGCAAGAGCTTCTTTTTTTCTCATCTCTTCACCTCCGCCTTGTAACAACGCACAGTAAATTTTTTTTCCTGCATGTTTTTTTTAGCTTATCTCCCCTTCGGAATCGCTTCTCTTTGTAAGCAAACGCTCTGGGATGAAGTTTTTTTTGTGCGTGCATGCAGTGCATTTTTTTAGCTTTCTGCCCTTATGAATTGCTTCTCTTCGCTCGATTTCGTTTGCAACTTGAGCTTTTGGAATTTTTTTTCTTTCCTACTTCATCTTGGGGGAAGCGACAGGCTAGAAGACGATTCTTTGCACGTTTTTGGAAGCCTTCTCTGGGGGGAAAAGTTTGATATAGCCAATATCTTGTTCGCTATAAAAAGTACTTTTAATGCGAAAGCATTAGCTGTCCCATGGAGCGAGCTGACGCCATCACTTTAAAGCGCGAAAACAGCACCTAGTTTCCGCAATCCCAACAGGAACGAAGTAAAGTTGGTGAATTTTGCCTTCAGTTCCACTGGCCGCTGCGCTCGTCAGTTTCCACGACCGCTCACCCCACGGCACTGCGTGTCCATCAGCACGCCATTAACATGGAGCGTCCAAGGTCAGAGTGCCCAGGGGAGCACACGCGCTAACCGGAGACGAAAAGTATGCAGCAGACGAAAAGGAGTGGACAAGCGGCTTGCATGCTTTCGCATTCACCACTCGTAAGACGTGCTTAGGTGTACGTTGAGCTTATTTTACATGCATCTTTATTTAAATTTTCCGTGAGTTCGACATCGACAATAATTCGCTGTACATAAGTTCGACTGGGTTCGTTCTAACAGGTTTCACTGTATTCAAAATCTTTCCAGAGGTGTAATCATGTGTGGTCTCTCACCTGGCATGTTGCTAATTTTTGGGTGGTAAATACAGCAAGGCAGGACTTCTGACCAGCACCACAGGAACAGGTTGCATGCAAGGTGTTCATATTTTCTAGTACTTTCTCAAGCGAATTTGTGCACAGAGCTTTGAATGCTGTGGGGTTTGCATGCCCCATCCCCAATTGCAATGGTTGTTTTGCCGCACGAGGAGAATTTAATACCTTTTCCAGTCTTTATGCTGTATAGGTGCAGAGTGCAAACAATTTCCTACATCTACCACTGGGTGCAGTCTTTAGTGTCGAAAGGATTGGAAGGGTTAGTCTGCTAGTTCACATATTTTGAACAGCTGAAGAGTCAACACTTCTCACACTTGGGAGGTAGGCTATTTTTGTAACCTGTAATAGAAACACCAACTGCCAAATGCAAGAGATATCAAGAGATGCTTGAGGTTCAGTAGTAAAGACATTAATAACAATCCCTTTATTTTACTAAAAATTGGCCCACTCAAGTTGGCCTTCGATTTATGTGCCATATTTCTTTTGCCAAAGTGGTGGAGGCAGGTGTTTGAGTAACTGAGAAGGTGGCACTTCCACAGCAACCATGTCATCCTCCAGGCTGTCAAACATTGCTAGCCACTGGAGGAAAAAAAGACAACAGTAAGATGCGAGATTCATACAAGATTTTAACCCTTTGCTGCTAATCACAAATTCTGTACATCATCAGCCCAAATCCATTTGGAAGCAGTGGCATAGCCAGGAGAGAGGCTTATGGATCTTCAGTCAACTCCGAAATCCAGCCGACTCTATAATACACAGATGCATTTTGAGTTTTGACCCCCCTCCGCCCCTTCGCACCTAAAGTCATGGACATCCCAGCCACCTCAACCTCTCCCCGTCCCTTCCCTTCCCCCCCCCCCCCCCCCCCCCAAAAAAAAAAAAATTCCTGGCTGCACCACAGTTTGTAAGTACATGGTTATGGCCACTAATTTTAAAAAGATTAGGGCAACACCAGCTTGCAAGCATCACAGTCAGAATTCTCAAGATGCAAATGGGATTGATGGTCATAAAACACAATAAATACCTTGAACTCTAAGCTCCTCCTCAAGGACTGAGACCCCATCTTTGCTTTGGTCAGCACCTGAAAGGTTGCATCAGTAGGTTTTAAAATCGTTGTCGCATTAAGTGTTTTATCCAAAACGTCGGTTCACTGTGACAATTCTGAATGGTATCAACCAGTCATAAAAACAAAACTGCTCACCTTTTTCTTGTCAATCAGAAAGAGCTCATGGTCGTTGTAGAGAAAGAAGACACCTTGATTCTTGGGGTCAAATGTGAGCCCTGTCAACGGTGACCTTGTCTTGAGGCTGAGGCTGCCTGCCGAATGCATCTGCTGGCACCAGTGGGTGTACGCTCCATGCTCGACGTCGAACTCTATAACCTGCAGCAACATCAATTTAAGATTCACACTCAAGACATGCAATAAGCATGAAAGTGACTAACACAAAAGTGGAACAGTGAGAGAAGTATAGATGGATGGATGCTAACAGCTGTACCCATTATCACGGGCAGTAGCTTGCACCACCTAGCTTAGAAACTAAAAAGCAAGACTATGACCATGCAGAACAGGAACTTGTGGCCAGGCTTCACATATATTGGCAATAGCCCGCCATGCTGTCAGGCTTGTTGGTCAGCAGCCAAATGTGGCTACATGAGAGTCCCCAAGTCCTCTAACATCTACGAAGTACACTAAGCATGCTGTATGGCACACATACATTATTTCTCAGACTTGAGCTGTCCATTAATTCCTTAGGCAACAGTCAAACTATACTATTTAATAGTGTAATTGTTTTAGTCATGCTTTGTAGCATGAGGTTTGGTTAAACATTACCTTTTTTCAAATCACCTGTCAGTTTTATTAGAGTAATTCTGATTGCTGCAACAGCACTTTCATTGCACTGATGAACGAACATGCCATATTCAGCTCGTAGACAGTCTGATTTTGGGACCATTTTCAAACATACACAGCACTGAGTGGAAACTCATTGATATGTTCCCAATTTTCATGTTTTCCCGGCTTTTACATTCAGGAGCGACGGTCCTGCTGCCGAGCTCCCATAGAAACGCATGTATTAATTTCCTCCATAATGCGTTTGCTTTCCTGGTTCTTGCAACCAAAAAGCCGGCAACATGGCACCGACAGCACTGGCATATTCACACGACAAACCAATCTGCGGACAGATATATCACGTGACAACATATCCACAGATCGTCTGCCTCCGAAGCGTATTCACACGGAAAAGGAGACGAGCAGACGACAGCGAGGACCAAACCACTTTGCAATTGCACAGTGCTGCACAACGCCAACAGCGCACAGTGGCACCATTATCCAAGAGCGAATGCAGCTTTTTTTCGTTACGGCCATGGTACAAATGCATTACGACAAAAGAGAATTGTTGCATGTTGCTGTTACGCAACAAGCGAGACAACACCGTGAGAGGCTCCTAGCTTTACTAACCCAAGGCATAACACAAGTATGGTCCTGTTTGAGGAGTCTATGTGTAGAAACGACGGATACCTGGGCTTGCGAAGGGATGTTTGCCGATGTCCTTGTCCTCGTGCACTCGCGCACAACACTTCAGTACACCACAGGCACAAAAAGGTTTTGCCCAACCTCGTTGGGTCCTAGTCTTGCCGGATGAAAGGCTGGACGGGTGTGCAGTAAAGATTGCAGCGTGCTAGACGAGTTATGAGAGAAGCTTCTTGACACAGACCCGCAGGAATACCAAAACTTGCAGCGCGTCAGTTGGGAACACATGAAGTAGCAAGCCAGCACTATTAAGCATGGATAACCTCTTAGTCTTTCCAATAATCCAATTTCTCTCTCAGCCGGGAACAGTTCCTGTAGCTTTTTTCACGCATGAAACCAGAAACTGTGCGACAAAACGAACCAGCGAACAGAGACAAAACGCAACAGTGTGCCATCATTGTTTTGCTTGCCTGTACACGAAAAATCCATGGAACCCTAGCCATAGATCGCGCGACGGGACCGCCACCCCGGGAGGGCGGAAGGAACTAGGCACGCAAGCGCTTGGAACAACGAAAAAGGAAGGCGCTACGATTCCTGTTGACGTACACAAAAAATCCATGGAACCCTAGCCATAAACAGCTTCGGTGTATAAAAAGTCCGAGGACACTTAAGCACTTCTTTTGAGTAAGAATGCGAAAGCATGCTGCCTGCGACGTATTGCTTCCGCCTCACGTTGTCGAAGGGCGTCGTCCTCTTGCCGCCTGGGGGGCTTTGAATTGCGATCCCGCTTGCACCTCACGCTTTCAAAAGGCTTTGTTCTGTCTCCTAACGTGTTTTGACGCTGCTCGTTCCGCCCGCTGTGTATTCAAAGCCTTGACAACAATGGTGGATTTCGTTGCCTGTCACCTCGCTCGTTGTGCTGCATTATTCAGCTCCCTTAGTTCGACTGCAGTGTTCTTGCGTGGATGGGCAGGTTTCGCTACTGCCGAGGTTGCAGCCACCGTGTTCATCGGCGTCGAGAGGAGCAGAAGCAGCCGAGCGCGCGCCACCGTGTTCCTTTCATTGGCGCGGGGCCCACAGCTCATGGGGTGGCGTTCCTTGAAACTCATGCACGCCAGCCAATGGGAGCCTCGTTCCTCGAAACTATGACGCGCGCAAGCCAATGGGAGCATATCCATCAAATCGCTGCTACAGATGACAGGCTACGCTCTATTGGGACAGGGGAATTTAGGTGCCGTTTTGTGTGGCTTCAAAAGCTGATAACGGCGGTTCGCTCCATGGGACAGTTAATGCTATCGAATTAAAAAATGTTGCACAGATCAAAGAAAGTTTACGTACACGTCATTCTCAATATGGCGACATACCGTGGGCTGGACGACGCAATGGTGGCGCACAATGGACCAACGTTGTGACGGACGTGGGGCCGCTACTTCTCAACTGTCATTCGTGGTAGCAGCCAAACGATCTTCAAGCACAGTACATCGAGTGGAGGGGATATAAGTGCAAAACAATCGCACGACAAACAGTACATGCAAGTTTGTTATCGTCGTCATCTACTTCAAAAGCCAAAGCAGTGAGAGAAAACAAAATAAAAAATGTGGTCAGGTGTAGCCACGTGACTTCCAGCCATGAGCTTTTGTGCTCATGTTTTGGTTTCGATTTTGGGCAGTTGAGTTGTTTTTGCTATATTGAAAATATACTTGACTCTGCAGCAAACTATTGATTCGGTAGACTCCCGACACCATATTAAATCGCCTGGCATAAGAGTAAAAAACATTTTTTTTGGTAATGGAGTGTCTGTGTCCCTTTAGAAAAGATTGCCTGCCACCGCCGGTGGGAATCGAACCTGGGTCCGCTGCGCACGAAGCGGAGGCGTTACCACTGAGCTACGCCACAGCGTTACCAAGCTGCTTTAAACTTAGGCGTTTTGTAGTACCTAATGCTCACTGCATGCGCTCTTTGGGGAACAAAATAGCGGATAAAAAGATGCCGTTGCAGCATTGTCAATGCAAAGGGTTCGTGCCAGGAGATGCGCTTTCACGTGCTCCGGAACAAAAAAGAAACAAAAGTGTTCGGAACAGCGCAGAGAGGAACGACTTTGTCTCTGGAGGGGGGAGTTTTGTGGTGGCGTTGCGGTACGCGCGGAGAGTGCGTGTTGAACGCCAACCAGCGCACACGAAATAGAATTGAGTCTTAACCAAATCTTTAAGTTGCATGGTTGCGTTTTTTCTGTCGTCCACTACAGGTCAGAAATCTATTTTGTTCCAAATCCTTTGTTCATCTAACGACTTCGCTGTGACTTGACTGTACTGTGGATTAACAGAGGACTGTTCAATTTTTTTTTTTATTTGACAAGCAAAACAAAGATGGCACATAGTCGCATTTTGTCTCTTTGCTAGTTTGATTTGTCACACAATTTCTGGTTCCAAGCGTGGGAGAAGCTGAAAAAACTTTGCCTGGCTGACGCGACACAAGTTCCGGTACTCCTCCAGGTATCTATCAAGAAGCTTCTGTCAAAACTCATCTAGCACGCCACGATCATTGCTGCACATCCACTACAGCCTTTCATCCAGCAAGAAGTTTTTGTGGCTGTGGCATACTGAACTGTTGTGCACGAGCGCGCAGGGACGAGGGCATCGGCAAATGCCCCTCTGCAAGCCCAGGACTCCGTCGCTTGCCCGCGTATCAGTCGCTCAAAGTGCCAAAAAGCAAGTATGAGCTTTTGCAAACATATTCGAGCTTTCAATATTGAATGTTTACAAACATTATCCGAACATAATTGGGCTCACGGCTACAGATGCTTACAAGCATTTTACGTATGTGTATTTTAGTTTACACCTACTTTCCCAGAGCTTATTTAAACCAACACCTACGAATGTTTGCAGAAAATAAATTGTTTCGTGACAATTGCTCTGTCTCATCTCTAGCGGCCCCTGGAGGGTGTTTTCGTTCCATACATTTTCCCGGATCAAATGTTTTCTTTCCCCCTGGTATCGAGCTTCTACTGTAAAAATCTTTAGATGACGAAATAACCTTTCACCGTTACCCTACAATATTCAAGATAAGCAAAACTGGAAAATAACTGGTTTCTCACACAAAGGAAAGGACGAGTGTCATAACTGATGGGGCATTAAGGGGAACAGAACAGAACCTGCAAGGGAGACAATTTGGTTTTCTCAAACGTTATGTTTAGGCTAGTTGGTTATTTGACATCTTCAGGTAAAAACAGCACAACTAGACAGGGACAACAGCACTGAGTCCCGTCTGCTCTTGTTCTTCGTCCTTGTCCAGCTGCGCCGCTTTTACCTCGAGACAATTAAGTTTCGAGGGTTATCGTACCAAACTAACTAATGGCACTTGTCACGTCCCAGCAGAGGAATCAGGATTCATTTACACCAGATGGGCATGCTTAACATACGAGGGATACCTGTCACACAGCACGCACACTATAATACGCCTCTGACAGATTCCAGGCACCTCGACCCGGATCTAAACCTACCAACTAGGGATCCATGGGTCGCCGCTTTGCCTTAGAGTCGTCACAGAGGTTAAAAGATATATAAAAAAGCTTCCCCTTACACACCTGGTTGTCACTGAACACGACCACCAAGTCACAAGACTTGGGAGCAAATCGCATTGCGGTGGGCAGACTGCTCCTTTGGGGCAACCGGCACACAACCTAGAAAATGGAAGCAATATAAAACTCTCAAAGACCTATCTGAGCACTTCATATGGTAGAAACAGAATGAACAGTACCACATTTTCCAGCGTATAAATCACAGTTATTTTTCCCAAATTTCTGTCTGCATGCCTTGTACAACGGTGCAACTTGTATGCGTTTCTTTTTATAGGTATGGACCCTAATTGAGTAAGATGCAGGCCGTAATGACATTTACAACAAAGGAGAAACAATAGAGCATCTGCCGACGACCTGCTTCTTTGGCCGTCCGAAGACGGTCCGGAGCGTGGCGGTACAGGTCCGCAGCTGCAGCGACACCGTGCGACTTATATACTAACAAGGTTTCCTCTAAAATGGCCGCTTATAGAGAGGAAGGAGAAGGGACTTCTACAATATGCAACTTAAAAACTGGAAAATATGGTAGTTCCACTACAGCAGTGAATAAATTGTCCATGGATTTGTTAGGGATTTGAGAACTGCCCGTAACAATGAAAGATGCAAATTATATAGCTTCTTTCTCCGTCCTCGCAATTTTCAATTTTCAGCACTTTTCAAAACTTGAATGACCTTGTATGCATTCGAAGAACACTAATGTAAACATTAAATTGTCACGCCATTATATGTACAGGCTGAGATCCCAGCCTGCAGCACCAATGGCTTGGCTACTGAATGTCAGAAAAGAAACACCTTAGTCAATGTTATTCAGAGCCAGCTGTACTGGGGTATGATTGCAGACAACCCGTTAACTTCATTCCCACAAATGAAATTACAGTGCTCTCTGTAATTTCATTTGTGTTGGTCATCGCATCCGCTATATATGGGCTCAATTGTATCCACTGGAAGTTAAATGTACTCACATAAAACAGTAACTCGCAGTACCCTAAAGATAAGCATGAGGCACTCATATTCAGCAGTCGAGATTGTTTTACAAAGGGCAAAGCGAGCCGCCCGATAAAGTAATATTGTCTCACTCAAAAAAGGCCAGTAAAAACAAATGAGCGGCGAGCTGGCATCACCTTACCAGGCCAGCTGCTCATTTCAGACCATGTTCAATTAAAACAAACTCAGTTTTGATGTGGCATAAATACAATGAGGGCAAAATAAATCTAAACCATTTTAAAAAAGTCTTGCACGCTCCAACACAGTCATTCACCACGACAGTATGGTCAGGTAGTGCATTTGTTTTATAAAAATATTGAAGAACTTACCTCAATCAAGTTACAAATGAAAACCAAATTTGTTCTATGGTTTATATACAGATAAGCTTTTTTATATGAAAAGTGAAAAAGTGTTCTTCTGGGTCACAAAGTCACAATGATTTTCTTCATTAAATCGAGCATCCCAAATGCCCACAAAAAAAATTCACAATGGCGCAAAAAAGGTTTGTTGGAAAATTATGGTTTTTAGTAGTAACTATTGAGTAAATAAAGTTTGCATTTTTATATTTTCAACAAAGAAACGCACCACCAAGCTGTGACTTTGCACAAAATTACAATGTTGGAGCATGCAATACTGATTTTTGACACTTACTTAAAGAGCGTTAGATCCACTTGACCCTAGCTGTAGAATATGCATTGTGGAGAGCTCAACTCTGTTTGAAAATATAATGAGTGGTTCAGATAAGATGCAGAAGTTATAGGTTGTAATGTTACCAGATTAAAATGTTAGAACCAACATTCAATGAGAACAAGACATCCAGCAGAGCCCACAAACACTATGTAGACGAATAGCATCTAGTACTGTCAATGATGGATGCCATCTTGAGGATTCAGGAAGCGTTACGGACTGGAACCTTTGCACAGTATCCCAACCACTAGCATTACATTTGGACAGAGCCTTAGTGCTCGGCGATGCATAGATCACTTATGTGGTGTAAAAAATGCCTTTTATTTTTCTAGAGAACACCTCGTACATTGAATATCAAGAACCTACTAGTCAATCCCAATAAAGCCAGATCACAAACCTTGTAGCTTTGTAAGCTGTACACAACAACATTGCTTTCGTTGTCCGCTGTTGCAAAAAACTTGCCAGAGCACAGGCAGGCCATGTAGACGTGCGTGGTGGCATCTATAAGAAAACAAAGTCAAGATGTTAAAATAATGACTAGAAGACGGATTTATACATTACAGTGACTTCAGTCAAAAACAACTATGTTTGGTTATTTCAGATAAGAATATAAAATTTCATGGCAGATGCAAATTTGACCAAACTCCCTATAATTTTTTGCTGAACATGTATCGTGGTATAAATTCTAAATGGATGCCCGCCCCCAAAAGATTTCCCATCCCCATCCCGTTTTTCTGGCCACATATCCGTGGTGGAGAACTACTGAAACACCACACTCCCCATCAAATTCATGCGATGTCTGACGAGACTCATTCCAGCCACCACGCTATTGCTTAGGGGGGACACTACCTGGGTATGTCTACTTTTGAACCGCTCACTCAATCGGCATGGTATTTGCAGGTGGCGTTTTTAGCCGTATAGAAGGAGGGCATGCAAAGTTTCGGCCCTGTGAACCAATTTTATTAGGTACTATACCCCCAGAACGAAGTGAAGCATAGCTTTGCATTAAATCTGCTCAATGAATCTATTCTTGAGAAATGGTCTTGATCACCACATACTTTTCTGATGGAATGCATACTGAAATACCTGTTGCCGGTTGATATGAAAAGAAATGTCAGAAAATATGCATTTTCCAGGTAAAAAAAAAAACTTAATGAAAAAAAAAATTGTCTTTTTTTCATTTACAAACCACCATGGGCGGGCGCATTCAATTGAAGGTTATACTGTTGTCATTAAAAGGACCATGAAATGATTTTTCAACTTCTTCCTCCTCAATCATGCAGTCGTGAGCTGCTTGGGCACCGGTACAATGACTTCAAACGGTCACAGTCTTTCTTAAACACGCCATGGAACTTGTCATTTGCAAGCGATGATAAGTACCATCACAGCACTCATTGGCCACGAAGGCAAATTCAAATATTCGTTGCCGGATGGATTGTTGACAAGTGCATACGTCCGTGTGACACAGTGCTCATGTCCAACGCGGCTCCCTCGCTCAGCTGGGAGAACTTCCGTTTCCAGTAGAAAAGCATACTTTACGTCATGGCCATGTGATTTCACATGTTGGTGGTCAAGTCCAGTCGAGTCGAAAAGAAAAGCAGATGCAAGTTTTCATCATTTTTTTGTGCAAAACTAAAGGCAAAAGAACAAAAACGAATTCCTGCTCGAGGTTCTGTGGACGTTGAAGATGAATTGGGGTCATCATACGGAAAAAGCTGGAAAATCATTTCACAGTCCCTTGAAAGGGCAACTCCGTTCAATTCTAAAAATTTTACGCTTACATGTGATTTCATTTTCCAAAGTACTACTAAAAAGCCCTACGTCTTCAGATTCACTAAATCTGGAATATTATTTCTGTAATCTTAGTTTCAACATCAGCAGATATAAAAACCTAAACTTTAGTTGCGACAGGCAACAATGATCTGGTGTCGTCGGAGTCATGTTCACGTCACGTCAAACAACGCGGTCCAAAAGGTCACGTGATCCTCTATGCGACGGCGGGCTAACGTAGAGCAAAGGGCGAGTGTCGTCTGCTCTGCAATTTTCGCCAATGTAGATTACTACAACATCCAATGGCGTCTGCACCACAGCGGCCCCAGCTTGCGCTTCAGGTTGGAATCTCAACGGAGGTGCCCGCAATTTGACGCGGGCTGATTGCCGCGTAGGCGCCATGTAACCGAGATCTCCGTTACACGTCACAAGATCCCCAGGTGGTCCATATTAATCATCAGGCCTCTGCTTGGGTGTGCCAGATGCCCTTCGTAGGTCTGGCACATAAGCTCCAAGTTCACATTTATTTTACCGAAAATAGCTGAGTCTTCGCACCTTGTTTCTACAGGCACGAAACATTTATGCTCGTACACTGGGAAACGCCCGGTGCGTAGTGCAACCGACGCGGTGGTCCTTTGACTGTGCATGTGTCTGCTGCTTTAGTAGCCTGAATTAAGTACCTTTATGAAGCTGTACGGCAGACTACACGTTTATTGTCAGTAGTAGTAAAATAGTCAGCGAAAATTATGAATGCCGAGATAAGCATGCTCCAGTGGACATTCATTTGGTTTCACAGCACAACTGATATTTTCACGCACGTTACTTTATTTAGCTAGTAACAGCAAATTAGTTAGTGTCATGAGCACAAGCAATCAAAACAGATCATTGCTCTGCAATTTGGTGACAACGGCTTCCCGAAGTTCCACCGGCACGGGATGTCCTTCCTACATTCAGATGCGCACTGTCATGTGGAAACTTGCGAAAGACAACTCCCGAGCTGGTCAACTGTTGGTTCGAGCAGGCAGCAAGACAACATCGTGAGCCTATGGCATCGCAGCTAGGCATCGGAGATCCGGCTCACGCTTGTATCGTAAACAAAGCGTCGTTCTCAAACTACAACAGCGGCGAGACGAAACAGACTGCTCTCAGCTCCGAGAAGCGCGCAGGGCAGCGCAAACTACGCATCCGTGTTACGGTGATCACATGGACACCGTTGAGCAAACACCAGGAGGAGAAACTCATGACGTCATCGTTCAATTTTGCTTTGAGAAGTAAAAACAAACAAAAAGTGAGAATGACGCAGACATGACTCTGACGTAGTGGCTCAATCTTGGCTGCTCCAACTCCGTGGTATTGACTGCGCTGTTGATTGCGCCTCACGTCGCACGCTAGAGTTAGCAGATCTCGGCGACTTGGCTCATTTGAGTTTGCTGTCCAGTTTATTAAATATAGACAGAATTATATCGCAATATTTGAAATGTGGTCTTCCTAGATGATACTGAAGAGGGCTGCATAGTTTTCTCAATATAAAAAATGAAGCAGAGTTGCCGTTTAAAGGAGTAGTGCAATGATTTTAATGTTAAAAGAATTAGCAGCTTGTATTCTCTTATTTTTATCTAAACACAAGCGTTATTCCGCTGCATAATCACAAAGGAAAAGACAAATTATTTGCCAATCTGCAGCCGCGTGAGGCAGTTATGGGAACTACGGTGAAACGTCTTCTGGGGGATACGCGGAAGTCAATAAAACCTGTCCCCCTCCGCTGCTACACTCGCCGTCAGCCCCGTGGCAAACCATCTTTTGTGTCGATCGCTCGCCGCAACCTTCAACGATGCTAATCCTTGAAAAGTCTACAACCACGGAGGAAGCGGCTGAAGATCTGAAGAGTGGACCCAACGCTAAACCAGGTGGTACCCCAGAGTATGTCACTCGAAAGACGATTGACCTTCGATTTGTTTCATTTTTTTAAAATAAAATCTAGTACGCGCAAGAAAACCCGGTTTTCTGTTCTTCAATCCATAGGTGACACAGATTGATTCCCGCAGTGAATTGGCCAAAGTCAGAAAATGGTTACACCACCCCACCCCTTCAAAGCATAAAAGCTGAATTCGAAACTGAGTCTTTTCTGTCTCCTGTGTTTGGCGCATTATGGCCCAAGTTGTTACTGCGCCAAAAAACCCCAAATTCATTCATTCATTCATTCTGTCTCCTCCCAAAAGGCTTTGTGACACTGAAGGATGGCAGTACAATATTTTACCCATCGTTTGCCCCAGATTTGACTACTTCAGCTGCTCACCGGCTGTACGAGCCAAGCAGAGCAAGATCTGGATGAAACATACAGCCTCTTTCATAGCGACAGCCATTTTATGACACAACAAAAATATGTAGCTAGAATTTTTGCTTCTGAGGGCAATTTATGCACTGCAAATTGCTAAAAACTAGACTTAACTAGAATAGAGAAAAAATAAAATGTGCCTCATTTCACCTGCAAATATTTTAGAAAACTATTTCTTAGTCTACATGTGAGATAGTATTATACATGTTTCAAAGCACTGGAGATATATTTTTGTGGTAGGTGAAAGCTATAGATAATTTATAATTCAGAGTCTGCACTGGAAGAGGAACTTGCCCAATGTTTCTTTCATCTTTGGGAGAATTTACATGCCAGCACAGAATCTCTATTTTACTATGCCTTCAAATTAACGCTAAAAAACCACTGACGCACCTCCAAAAAATTTAAGCTTGCCTCGAACATTCTGATAAACCCGGGAAGTACAGAATGGGTCGTGCGTTCATTATGCGTGTGTTATGACTTGGTTATGGGGAGCTTTGGGTGGTATGGAATGCGCTGTACACATGACACAGGCTTGTGTTGTACATACATCAAAATTATCGAGACAACTTTAAATTTATTCAGAAGTGAAATGTGTCACAAGCATGCTTTAATTAGACGTTTTTCATGGGGCCTGCTTCTTTTGTGGGTGAGTCTAGCAGTGGCATAGCCAGAGGGAGGCGCTTATGCCTCCTCCTCCCCCTCGCTCCCCCAATATTCCCGGCCCCATAACATGTCCTGCGAATGAACTGCGGTGACAACTGAAGAGCAGCACACCCTGCCACACAGCGATTACACACAATCACACTGTACACCAGCCATGACGTCACAGTGTCACGGTGACATAATGGTACCACGTGCCGTGACATCCGAGTAACGGGAGATGTCCCCACGCCACATTTACACCTTTCCAAAAAACGCTCCTAGGCCGCCGCTGTCACCGCGTTGCTGATGCGGCTGATGCGACTCTCGTCCCCTATATCAGCTAGAAATTTTCTGCCACTCTCTTGGACTGTGAAGACCCGCTCAGTGTGGTTCTCTACCTACGTTTTTGCGGTTTTGCATTCAACGTTTTCTAGCCCCTCTTGTAAGTTTCCATTTAATTGTTTTTATGCAGGCTGCGTACCCTTTCTGGGTTATCTTCCACTGTGAGAAATAAGGCTGGTAAGTGTCTGCCATTCAAGCTTTCACGGGAAACGAAGGAGGTGAAGGACGCCGAACAGCCCTCGACGTGATTTTGCGAACATTGTTCTCCCCCCTCCCAGAGATAATCCGCGAAAACTCAGTCATCTCCAAAAATAGTTGTCCGGGTTGGGGTGGGGAAGCGGTCAGTCGCGTTGGTTCTTTTGCCTTGGTGCTGCTGTGAAAAAAGGAAGCTCTTCCTTCCCAAAACGAAATCATCTTGGATTCTGTCCGATCGTCAAGATGTGACTCTCGTTGACTGAGAATGTTAATTATTTGAGATCTTTCTCAAATAAATTCTTTCTGGATAACGCTGCATAGTGTGGTACGTACAATATATTGTTTGAATGTTAAAACTTGCTAAATGGTGTGTCCGTGTCCTGTTCATTGGTAAACACGCTATTTGCGAGCATGAAAAAAATTCTTTTTGACAGCTAAGCGCTTTGTCGTTTGACATGCAGCGAATCGCGTGGCGCCGTCAAAACTTATCATAAAGAAAACAACAAAAACTAGAACTATACATTCCAGTCGCATTCGTTCTGTCGCGTGCGTACCCAACAAAAATAGTTTCTAGGTTTTTTATTGCTTTTAGTTTTTTGTTTTTTTTAAATGTGGTACAATGCTTTGTCAATGACCTCGGGAAAATACATGCGCCATTAAACACAAAATACAACTGGAAAAAACGAGAATTTAGCCGCCAGCAGCGTTTGAAACTGAGCCTACGCAGGCTGTGCCTATCAAAATCACAGTCCACTCGGTTAGGGTTAGCAGGGACACCGGTGACAGTCTAGCCTCAAACCCAGTGAATGGTCTCGAAAACAGTTTGCTGCCCCTGGAGTCAAGTGCTTCTTGGAAAGGTGTTTAGTCATAGTGCCACGGGGGGCATCGTATAAAATTTCTCCGCTATATTTAATGAAAACTTTTGCCCCTAAATTGAGCAGAAAAGTTTCCGCAGCGTCATGACGTCATGGGATGCAGCAAAGATGTTGTCACGTGACAGTCACGTGATATCACGCGACATTGTGTGTCCAATAGATTTAGCGGAGAAAGTGTTCGGTGACACTGCAACGTCGTGCCACGACTCGCATGAAACACCCCGGAATCGCGAAACCAGGCCAATAACAGCCGTTGCCTTAAAAAGTAAAGCATTCGAGCCGTTCAAGGCAAACTCACCTGGTGTTGTCGGAATGGTGTGCAGCAACGTCGGCGGCATCCCAAGTTGGAATACTTGGACGGCACCGTGGACGGAGAACACCAGGAGGCGACTGCAGTCTTCCGTGAAGAGCAGAAACCTCGCAGGACCAAGCTCATCCATCAATGGGGCCACCTTCTCAAAGGATGGTGCTCTTCCGTCCCCCTCCTGCCAACACAAGCCTCGTTTCAGTTGGTCTGCTCCGCATCGGGAAATGAGACACTCGAGAAGATTTATGTCCTTGAGAGTAAAGGCTGGTTCACACACTTGCGGCGACTGCTTACGACCGTGTGACTTAAAACCTCCTAATATCTCTTTATTTTTGTTACACGCAACATTTTTTTAATCTTAAAAAACTTATGTAATTTCATAAACGACCGTATCTCATAGATGGTATGTAAATTTGATCTTGCAAACACTGCAAAACCTTCACTCTAGTAAATACAGGTCCAGGGTCACCTAATAGATGGCGCCAGTGTGCCAGTATGTTCTCTCGTAAGGGATTGCAATAACTCGGTCCTAAGCGAATGCAAGTGTAAGCTTGCATTTGCTTAGGACAGGACCTAGTATGACTCACGAGAGTGCGCGTGAACAGGCGACTGTTGGCGTAGCAGCTGGCTCCCAAATTACGGAACGCAGCTCCTCACGTAATCCCACGTCACGGGTTAGGTCATAACTAGAATTCCGTGTTTTCGGTAAAAATTGATAAACCCCAAAAATTAAACCCCCGAGCCGACTTTATAGAAATTGTGGAAAACCGAAAAACTCAGAATTCGAGTTGTCCTTGAAAATGAAAAACCGTAGCTTCATGGGAAGAAATTCCGCACCTACAGCTTTATTTTGTGCCAACACAGAACACAGCCTCCAACGAACTCTCCGCAAGGCTGCTTCTTTGTTCGGAAAGAAACATTCCTTATCTTGTTTTCTTTTCTTATCAGTACCAGGTGTTTTACAAGTATTGGAGTATGCGCATGCTGCCTGGAGGTCGAGGGCAGAGCCGTGTATACAGAGAGTTTGGTCAATGGGAGGCGCGGGCAGAGCCAGGGCGGGCACCGGACGCAGAAAGTGGGCTTGGCATGCTCTTTAGGCCAACCAGAAGCCGAAAAGAATTTCCTAGTGGTGGTGGTGATAAACAGATTTGGTCGCTTTAATAAGCGTGTAAGAGTTAAATGTAGTAACCCTTCATGGTTGAAAATTGGGTGCAAGTGATGTTTCGATCATGATCATGCAGAAAGATGAAAGAAACGAAAGCACCGCTCAACTCTGTTTTGCTTGCACAGAATGTGACTGCTCGGAAGGCAGATTCCCGGCCCTCGGCGCTTGCCCTGCGGATTATGTCGATCGTTCCACTAGATGCACTCTTCCACCATGATTTTGGATGACCGTGATTAAAACATCACATGCACCATATTTGCAGTCACCGAGAGTTACTTTGATGCACTTATCAGGTTTGTTTCTCGCGACCACCGCCAGGGTATTATTTCCGGCTTCTGGTTGGCCACATTAAAATTTCTGAAGACGCCTTGGAACACGCCCAGCCCGCTTTCAGCCAATGGCGCCTCCTTGTCTCGTCTCGATCATTCTGATCAACCCGGTAAGCACATGAGTATGTCGTGCGTACAACCCATCTGAAACCACCCTGAGCTCCCCGTAACCCAGTGTAGCTAACCAATGCACACATCATGTACGCACGACACATTCTGCCATCCCCGGGTTTATCAGAATAATTGATGCAAGTTCAATTTCCAGTCTCTCTCTCCAGCACACCAAGCGCTTCTGCCGTGCTCAACGGTAAAGTCCCCAGAGTTGCACTAGCTTCATTTCGCATGGAGTTCATAATCGTGCACCGCGCCCGTGAATAGTGTGCTCATGGTGCACGTGCATCGGGCTCCACTGCTTTGCACCGGAGTGCATGTCGAGTCCCACCACTCTGCACCGGCGTGCTACGAGCAGCGACCGAGACGGGGCAGCATCTGGGTCAGCTCGATGGGCTCAGAAATTTTGCTCACTACTGCAGGTCGACATACTTATTGAGCTTAATATTAAATGGCAGCTTTGAAGAAAAGAAAAAAGTTGACACGCATTCGAATAAATACGGTAGTTCTCCGCAGCTGTGGAAGTGCATGCTAAATAAATTGCTGCACGAGGTTGGCCCCGAAAGGCGTCATTGATTGTTAAATTCTTTTATACCCCAGAAAAACAGACGCAACAATAAGCTGTAATTCTGTCACCTCACCAGATTGACACGGTAGAGGAGCACCCTGTCGGCAGTGGAGCCAGCCAGCCACTGGCAGTCGGGGGAGACGGCGGCACAGTGGAACCGGGTCCCTTGCCTGGGACGCACGTGGGCCAGGAGTGCCGGCCTCGTGGAGAGAGGTAAAGCCTCGCCCGGTGCACCTTCTTGAGACCCGGATGAGCCAAGCTGCCAGAGCTCCAGGTGTGACTCACCATTGAGAACAAGGTGGCCACTGGCCGATGCTAGCTGTACCGCCGAGCGCTGGTCCACCATAAATGATACAAGAGGTATGCTCAGTCGACTCCACGGTGTAGTCAAAGCACAGGTGGTTTTACAGTCCCAATTCTAGCAAGTTCTAAAGCATCGTGGCTACGGCTAAAGCCGCTGAATTTTGCCAGATAATCCGTTCGTTCACCCCTAAGCTGAGACTATGGTGGGAGCCATGTCCTCGCTGGATCAATCAGCCACCGCACTTTCGTCACCTGACCCAACTTTTTGCGCGTGGGTATGGGCAAGAGCGTGACGACGGGGCAAAAGAAATGTGTCTGCCTGGTCCAACGAAAATGTAGCTTCCATCGCAGTCTCAGCTTAAGGTTGAACGGAGTATAGCATCCGCAGCAAGCGGAGAATCGAGCAAATTGAGTTTGGGAACTGGTTGATGCCGGCAATCCTGGGGCCTAAAAAAAAGTGAAAAACATATGCAAAATATTTATGTAGAGACTGTGAACTGGTGAACTACAACAGGTCGGACGATAGACGTGTAGGATTTGGTACTCTGGAAATGTTTGGTGGCTCTGGCTGCCACAGTACCATCCTGTCTAGGGCTTCTTTTTCTACTTACATTCTAACCTACAACAAGTGTCCCTCTAACGAGCCTCCTCAGGCCGACCCAGAAGAGTGGTACCTTCAGAAATTCTGACACTGAAAATGCATGGACGTACCACAAAATACTAAGGAAGCATCTGCTACAGTAGAGGTGCACCCAAGCTTTCTTCCATAAATGTTGGAAGTGGTCTGTGAACATAAAGTATTCATACTTACAGCTTAGGTAAGTGCCCAATCCAGAACTATATTTTTCAATTTTTATTACATACCTACTCAATATTTCTCAGTCACTAGTCACAGGCTCAGCAAGAGATAGCTTGACACAGGTGTAGTTTTTAATAGTATTTTCAAATGCTGCAAACAACCTTACTCCTATGGGCTCAATATAAAATAAACAGAACAAAAACTGCACTTCCGAAAAATAACATCAACTCTACCGGGGTCGTGAGAGAAAATGAAGCCCAGTTTTTCTATTTGCATACAAACTGTGCATCACAGGAAGCTGTCATTCCATCAGAATATGATGCTAGCAGTGGTGATAAAATGTGAAAGTTTGAAAACACAACGTTACCTGGATCAAAAGATAAGAAAAAAAGACTAAACTTCTTTGTGAGCAGACGTCTATACCTAAGGCATAATATCTGCCAGACTTTTCTTGTTGACAGGCTTTTTTTTTTTTTTTTTTTCACCGACAAATGTTAGTGGCACCCACAATGTCATTTTTTTGTTTGATGTCGGTAGATGTAGAGGTAGATGTCGGCTCACAGAGAAATTTTGTCTTTTTCTTTTATCTTTCGATCCAGGTAGCATCATGTTCTCAAACTTTCGCATTCTATCACCACTGTTAGCGTCATATTCTGACAGAGTTACAGCTTTCTGCAATGGGTAGTGCATTTACAGGGGCCCAAAAACTAGGTTTCATGATCTCCGAAGCCAGGATAGTTTATTAATGCCAAGGAACTGGGATGCCCTTGGAAAACTTTAGTCGTTAACTGTACTAATGAACTATAATTTAATTAAGCAAAATTTAAAAATGCATTCCAATATACCTCAAACGATAAGTGTTTTGTGAGTGATGTTCGAGATGAAATGGCCAAGTAGGTGTCCATTCCTGCATGAATAGAAACACATAAACTTGTATAATACCCCAAGAAAAAAAAAAAAAGAAAAAAAAAGCAAATTTTTAAATCAAAGCAGGCTTGTTTAGGGATAACACCCAAATGGTTTACAACAAAGTACCATCATTCACTTTAAAACAAACCCTTACTATCGCATGAGTAAACATACATATATGTGCATATCCTAAATGTCTTACTGCACACAGTGGAGCGAGACCTCCAGAACACACAGACTGCATGCCTAAAAAGTGTTCCTTCAGTTTCTATTTAATGTATGAGTTGTTTACAATGTTGAAAGCTCACCAATTAACCAGACCAAAATCTTTATTGCAAGTAAGAGATTAACCAGTTAAGGGGGAAGTACGCCATAATTTTCACTTTCGCACAAAACACTTTTTAAGCTACATCACCACTCACGACATGCCATGGAAAGAAAGGCGCCAAAAACTGGGACAGAGTAAAGAAGGCGACAACACAAGGCGCTTGTGCTGTTGTCTTCTTTACTCTGTCCCAGTTTTTGGCGCTTCTCTTCCTGCACTAAAAACCAACTAGCCCAACTCACCATTTTGTTTCAAGACATGCCTGTAACATATTGAACAAAGCGACCAGGAAGCCCAATAAACACATCTGAAAGCTGCCCAACCAGCAGATGACATGACACCTTGAAGAGGGCCACATGGGAGGAGAAAGGTTCCCACTAACATGGCATAGCAACTGGATACATAGCAACGGGATACTTCGGCACTTGAGAGCGCTGGGAGTCCACTGTAAGAGTAGTCAGTCTGCCCGACTAAAGCTTCAATGTGTGCTCCTCAACATTTCAATCTGTACCCGTTTTCGCCTCAAGAAAAAAGCAAGTTTTGTGCACTGTTCATACGCGGCGCGAAGTAATTCTCAAGAGATTTGGTGGTCAGAGGAAAAAGCAATGCTTTTGGCATTAGGAATGTGTATGTCTTAATAAGAGAACATACATCTAATCTACAATTCACCTGCATATATCTTAATTCTCTACATTAAGGGAGATATCAATAATGCTTTGCAAAAAGTCTGACTTTTTTTTACTACGGTTCTTGAGGTGAAAACGGGTATACTAGTTTTTTGGGGTTTTTTTTAATGAAAGGGGACATCTCTTGCAATTGTGAGCATTACCTACGGTCTGAAGGACATGGCGATTCCTGCTGGAAGACCGATCCATAAATGCCATGGTTGCACATCCTCCTTTAAAAAGACTGATACCTCATTTTGAGAGTGAATTTGACCCCTGCTTGGCACATACATTGAGCTTTCTTGATACATGGTATGTACACTGTCTCCTGGGTGGTGCAAATTTAAATGACAGCATGTGCAGAACGCCATGCTCATAACTGAAAATGGCACAAAGTCGCAAGCATATTCCATAACTTAAGATCTGCAGGACAAAGCACGAACACAGGACTCTGATTACATTTGCATACTTCCTCCATCAGAGATGTACGAAATCAAGAACTACTAGCTCGCATGCATTGTTTTTCTTCCTTATTTTATTTGGTAGTTCAGAAACGTGCATGCTTCATGCGTCGAGAACTCGATCGCACCGATCCAGCGCTTTCACCGCGCTTAATCTGTAGCAAAAGAATACATTCTCTTTCCTTGCACCGTCACTGCTGCAGAATGTCACGCTACGCACTTTTCTGGTCATTGTAAAAATGTTTTATTTGCATTTTCTACCGATGATGTGTTTAATCGTATTGAAAGACATCATGGGCAGCTTGGTTATTCGTATGTACACCGTGCATGAAGAAGACGCCAAACCCTGTTGCTGTTCAAAAAATGTGCTGCAGAACAGTTGCTAAAACAAATCTGCAAGTCATTTTGTGGTGCGAAATTTTCTCCGGATTCTTTTTATAAAATTTGGTCCACAGTATTTTTATAGATGATTTAAACCAGAAACATTTGTTATTGTAATTTTAGGAAAAGAAAAAAAAAAGAAATAAAGCTGGAGTTCCTTTTTAACCGAACATTCCTAAAAAACAAAACACAAAGTTATGAATGTCCTTACCTCCAGAAACAATCCAATCTTTGGCACAAGCCAGGGCCCGGACATCATGTGTGTGATTGGTCCTTTGAAGAGACTTCACCCATTTTTGCGACTGGCCGATCCTGGTGAACTCAACTACCAAGGGATCCACACCAGCAACGTAGACACTCTTCTCATCCTGTCAAGATCACCACATGGCCAAGTATAAGCAGACTGCAAAGTGATCTCAGACTACTACGCTGAGTAAAGCCGAATTGTACATTAATTCACAGCGCTTACTGTGCTCAAAGAAGTGTCATTTATGAAAAAAAAAAAACAGGTTTAATGAGTTCACGTCATATTATGCACACTCTGCAAATTATGCACACTTACGCTTGGCAATGTTTAGCTTAGAACTGACAGAACTCTATATGTATGACCTGCCAGCCTTTTACTCTTCTTTTACTTAATTCAGTGATGGAAGCGGCATATGAGTTTTTGTAGCAGGTTTCGTAGTAGCAGGCAAAATGTTGGTTTGGAGCAGCTATAGACCATTTTGGAGCAGATCCCGACATGTTTCCAGATCACTTGAAAAGTAAATGATAATTGCATCGCTAAATGAGTCAATGTCTAATAATAATTAAACAACCCCTGAAAAAAAAAAAATTTTTTTTAAAGAGCTTGGTTGGGACACACGTGTCAAAAAAAATAATTTTACAAGCAAAAAAATTTTAGAGCAATGCTGACAACGTGAGACGCAATTTAGTTGGCAGTCACCTCCTTTCCACTTGTATTCTCTCTTGGCATTTCAGGCGCGTAAAGGAGAGGTGGATCGGCTTCGCCTTAACGATCGAGATGGTCATTCCAGAATGACCCATGACGTCATGGACTGTGCGCAGAATTTCAAATAAATCTTTCGTTGTCAATATTGTCCTAAAAAAAAATTGTTTTTTTTTTCTTTTTTATGTGAAACAGTTTGGGTGGTGTGCCAACCAGACTGTTTGAAAAAAACAATTTTTTTTCTTTTCAGGGGCCCTTCAAGGGTTCACCTTTGATACTGAAGTCTATCATATATATATATATATTATAATATCATATATATATTATAATTATGATACATAATCATAAAAATACAAAATGACACAAAACTGCCTTTTTAGAAATAAGGCCCAAGTTAAAATAAGTTTCCTTTATAATAAATATTAAGGAGAAAAAAAATATTGAAAAATGAATCATAGCAAGATACTTCAGTTTAGATAAAGTGTCTCTCTGACTCATTTTTACGACCATAGTTAATATAGCCTGTCAATATCATTTATGTAAAATTCTGGAAAAAAAAAACAAAAACATATTCACTAAAACGTTGACCAATGAAAATATGTTCAATCAAGATTTATGAACCTGCATACCTCAACATCCTAATATCATCAACTGCAACCTCCCCCCCCCCCCCCCCCCCCCCCCCAATATAACCAAAAGTTAGAGTTTAGCTTTGAAAGTGGCACTCCTAATTCTGCAAGAGTTAGGAGCATTAGAGCCAGAAATGAGTTATTGGGAGCACATTTGAACAACTGCCGCACGGGAACTGCCTCGACCACTTACTAAAAAAATAGGTTCCATTTTTTGTTTTGTTGTTCTTTCTCGGCACCGCTCTTTAAAATTAGAGGCTTACCTAGCATCGAGACCAAAAAAGGCTGACCTGTAACAATACTGAGTATAATTTCCGAGCCCAGCGCACTAACCCATGGGTGTCCCCCCGAGAAAGCCCCTTCTTTTAACACACCGATGCAATGCAGAGACGCTCAACGCACGTGCGCCTGTGCAAGGTTAAGGGGGACGCGAGCAGCAATTAGTGGCGACAGGCACGTAGCCAGGGGGTGGCCCATGGGGCCCGGGCGCCCGCCGAAATCTTCTATCTTGCTGGGACCTCCTCTGCCCCCTCCCCGTCATACAGCATTTTGTTATGGGCAGCCCCCCCCCCCCCCCCCCCCCCCCCCCCCCGAAACAAAATCCTGGCTACGTGCCTGAGTGGCGAGATGTTTTGGTGGCGCCCTCCTATGATTTCCTCTCGTGACGTTATTACCTTGCGAACAACATGTTCGACGGTGTTCGTAATAAGATGGTGGAGGCTTGAAATTATTGCTCTCAAAGCAAGATTGCCAACACCGTCAAAATTGAAGTTCTTACATTGCTCTTATTTCCACTAATGAAAAACCCTCTGCTGACGTCATAGTCAGCATTCGGCCAATCGTGGAAGGCTGATCACGGACGTCGCCAATAGTGCCACGGCGTGGAGGCATGCGACTGACATGGAAATCAAGTGATCTCATCGGGAGTATGAGACCCTGGTTTTGTCTTATCCCATCAGCTGCCATACTACCATTTTATTGATTTTTCGCACGACTTCTAGCTCTGTGACATCACTGCCATAATCACCTGGAAGTTCACACGATGACGTAGCCAGGGCGGCAGACGAGGAAATTTTAACTACCGTAAAATATATATTTTCCCCATTTTCCTTCTCTTCTACTTCTTTCAATGTTAAATTATATTTTTGCCTTGCCTGGCACAGGTGTGAAGCAATTTTAAGCGAAAATGCCATTCTCGTGCGAAAGTGAAGCAGATTTGCGTTCATGGCACAATTTGATGCAAATCGCCAGCACTTCTATCACTGTTGATTTCCAAAACATATTTTGCCCTCGTTCACGTAAATTCACACATTACAGCACAGCAGCAGTATAGTTGCCTGAAGATGTCACTTACCCCGCTCAAGCAGAGAGTCAGGACATCGGCATTATGCACCCTGGAACTCTGTAATGAAAGCAAACAATGGAATTAATGCTGTCTTTTTTATAACGCAACACTTGGAGGGATCACTCGCAGAGTAATGACCATGGCACTATTTTTTTCCCATTCTAAATTCCCATGCGTCTGTGACTGGTCACCGACAGTATATTTTGTGCTGCTTTGTTCTCTCCACCTACCACCACATTCAACCGTCCCAATAGTGTTCAGACCTGACACAGTGAAGACTGAGTAACTGACACATCACTGACCCACAGAGCTTCTCACGACAAATTGGCTACTCACCGATATCAGAGTAGCTGTTGCTCCATCCCAAAACGATGTACGGCCACAGGAGTCTCCGCTAATGATGGTGAAGTCACTGAAACGCAACACTCCCGAGTTTAGTCGAACTAATTGCAGAACCACTTAAACTGTCTCACCTCGTCACTGTCAGACACCAGACAAGCGTTTCCCTGTTCTTCTGCATCCGGCCAACTGAGATGCGGTCAATGATATGGCCAGACTTCACGTTCCAGATACGAATCAAATCTGATGACCCTGTGACAATTATATCCCCATCTTTGTGCCATGCAAGGCAGAGTATCCGACCTGGAACCAAGTAAAACCACAGGTGGCAGTGTTGGAACATCAAATATTTACAGAGTGCTTTTTCATGACACAAGCAAAATGGTTCGAGCAACAAGAATTCAACAGCCAGCTAGATCAATGGGTTGCATATTGTACAAGTTTAGGAAGTGAATAACAAGACTGCAAGCTGCATAAGAGCCATGGGTTTTCATCGAACAAGCAAACAAGCTCCAATTGCAATAAACTCAGAGCTAGGTCACCTGCACCAAACGATGCCTGGACTGAAGTATTTCTGACAGCAATCGAATATTGTGAATACTCGTACAGCAGACCAAAATGATGGGTTTTTTTCCCATATAAATATTAATGTGGCAGTGGAGGCCGACATGTCTAGAACATATTGTCAAACGAATGTGCAAGATGGAAGATACACACACAAAAAAAATATTCACCTTCCTGCTTGTTCAGTGTTTTGAAGAAATTCAGGCCATCATCCGCAATCTCAAAGATACAGACATAGCCCTGTTCAGTGCCCGCCTATGAAAAAAATTAAAAACATTAACTTGCCAACTTTTATCACAGTGCACAATGACAAAACATTCATACTGCACAGACCTCAAGAGCTAGCATCAAATTAAATCGAAACAGAACCAGTGGAACGTATGAAAGTATGCTGTGAATTTCTGCATCAAAAAGGATATCTTGGTGTATGCTTACCCATTCCATGGCTAAAACATTAAAACCATAATTAATCAAGCTGAATACAAAAGGCAGGCAATGTCCCCCCAAGGCAAAATACATAATAAAACTATTGCACACCTCCCCCTCCACATTCTTAAAAATAATTACAATCAAATCCAGCCTGGGGAGTCTGCCCAACATTTGTTGACACTCAATCTTTCTGCGCCACACCTTGCAAAAAAATTTATTTTTCTTACAGGCACACCTGCCAATGAATAGTGACTGCAGTAGCCATGTCTGCTACCTTTCTTATTATGTTAGTAAAGGGCAAAAAACACCGGAATCAAAATAAAAACATTGTTATGATCTCATGTAACATATTCAAGTGCCCTGAAAAACTGACTGATCATTTGGCATCAACAAAAAAAGACTGAGGATTTCTATGACCTCACTAGGTCTATCCCAAAAGAAATGGGGAAGGGAATGACTGCCGGTTCCTTAGAATTAATGGTTTCAACACACTTTGGCCAGAGAACTCTGAAATACTTAATGCTTTCCACAAAATATTATTTGTTGGAGAAACCCTCCTTGGTTTGTGTATAGTTTTTGCTAGAGGTCATATTTCTTTACTCTTAATAAATGAACAAAGCTTCACCACTTCTGATGAATAAAGTAAATTGGGAAAGGTAGGATTAAAGTAACCCTGTGGCGATAGCTGCACAACGAAAAAGTAGAGCACAAGAGATTGTGCCGGACCACCAATTTGTAGTGCGTTCATCATTGAGTACAGAATAGAATGTGTTCACCCAAGCTCAAAGACCGTCGCACCATCTATTCCCTCCTTAACGACGAACATGCTAAAAACTGGTGACCCAGTTGTGATCTCACAAATTCAATCTTGTGTGCGTGTACCAGCGACAAACAGACTATTTACAAAATCTCAGTCATTACACAACAAGCAAGCAGCACAATAAGAAACTACACAAGTGGTAAGCCAAAACACACACCAACACAACTTTGATCAAATAATTTGGAATCAACTCCAGCTTTCTGACTAACAGATCATCCATCTATGCCAGTTAAAATGCCCACTTCATGTGATGATTTTTTGGGCCATGTTCTATGAATATTCATAGGTAAAGTGTGCTCGGTATTTTTTCGTCACACACAGATGAAACAACCCACTTCTCCATGATGTTTAATTTGTATACAGCAGTAAGACAAATTCACTACACGCTACTTATCCTGTCACTATTGTAATCCTCTAATACACCCCTGCCCCCCATTGTTGTGGATAGGGTCCACTATCAGGACTGCAGTTCCACAAGAAGCACCCAAAACATCAATGCTTGAAAACAACTGCCCTACATACATCAGATGGCATTGCAAGGGGCTGGTCATACTGGGGAAATACACAAATGCCTACTCCTTTAGCAACCACTCTTGAATACTCACAGCAATATGAGTCTGTTGGTGATTCTCTGCCAAACACCATGCAGGGCCCGACATCACAGCAACAGAATACTGAAACAACAATGCCATAATGGTGTTCCAAGTACAGTCACAAGCAAGTCTGTTAAGCCCACTTCAGACAGGGCAACTTTCTCAGCAATTTTGCGGTTGCTGGCGAGGTGTTCTCTAGCTTTCCCCAGATTGACATGAATTGCTGAGATCGGGTCCGGCTCGAAATGAGCGAGCAACTCTGAGCAACTCGAAGTAGTGTGAAGCGGCAGCAGCCAATCAAGGACGCAATATTTTCACATATACCCCAGGCCGGTGATGATGACAACTAACAACTTGGTTCTGGTTTGAAATTAATTGTTTTTGAAAATAAACCGTTTCAGAAAGATGAGTTAGCATTCTCAATGCCATTTAAAGGTATAAAATCATGTTTATAGTGCATAAATGTGTATCTAAATAGTGCACGAAAAATAAAATTGAATAATGATGATGATAAAAAAGTGCAGCAAATGGTTGCTGCATATGAATGCAGGCAGCGCGTGTTGCTGGTGTTACGACGTCAAGTTGTTGGGAAAAATTGCCCAGTCTGAAGCGGGCCTTACAGCTCCAGTACCTTCGGCTGCAGCTTAGCGAGGTTGTATTCCGTGATGTGCCCGTTGAGACCTGCGGTGAAAAGCCGCTTGCCATGCCATACCGCAGCTTCGATGGAGTTGTTTGGGTCTCCGAGTATCACCTGCAGTGAGGAAATCCAATGATGTAGATCGAACAACGCACTAAAAATTTAGCACCAAGAAGGAAATGTTACCCCTTCAACACAAGGTGTGAACTTGAGGTTCCAGATTTCGATGGAGAAGTCCGACCTGCAGAATGTAAAATACAACCGAGTGTAAGATGAGCATGCTTAACGTACGGTTGGCGCTTGAATTAGCACATGCTGACTTAGGGTTACCAACTCTTCAATGAAGGAAGTCGGGACGGGGGGGTTGCAGCCCGAGGGAGGAGAAGGGAGATGCATAGGGGTTTTATACAAATGATGATGATAACAGGCGCCCACTGCGATTTCCGGCTTTGCCAATGCTCTTGCATGCTAAGGTGGCTAAAGCCTCGCAGCCAACGCTAGACACTGCTCCATTGCTTTGTGTGATTTGTGCGAACTTCGTGTTTCGCAGCGTGGCGCGCATTGTTGGGCGTACGTTGGATCACATATAATATTTCTAACTCGACCGTCTGGACCGAATCCGGGACATATAGCTGTCCCGACAGGGACGATGCGAGACTGGGGACGCTTTATGAAAAGTCGGGACAGTCCCGCAAAATCTGGGACGGTTGGTAACCCTATGCTGACTGCGAGTTTCGGCAATGTTCATTTCATACCAATAAGATTGCTGCCCTTGGCACACAATGAGTGGGAGCTCGTTCTGTGCCTGTAATGACAAGCTTAGCAATGACGTCTCGTGAGACCTATTGCTCGCTTAGAAGCAGCTCTGTGGTGTAAAATAAATTGAGTGAAGGGTAAGTACACTTCTAGAACGATATAAACAGCATGGCAGACTGGTCGATATGAGTGAAAAACTTGTATCATTTTGAAACATGTTAGTACAGCCTTATGTTACAAGGGTGACCGGAAAAAGAGCTCACCCGACAAAAAGATCATAAACTTCTTCGCGAACTCGGATATACGCTAAACGCTCCTTTCTGTAGACTCGGACCAAAGCTCATGGGATCAAACTGGACCAAACACTGTAGCATGCTGAAGCGAGTACGGAACCGATCATTCTTATTCTTCCATCTGTCATGTGTAGGTGAAGTTTCCTATCAACCCCTGTGCAAGGGTTGTGCCACAGCAGCTGCTGGTAATAAATCAAATGAAGTAAATTGCGATCGGCCTTGCTTCCATTGGTGCAATTATTCGGTGGCCTTATGTCCTAAAATTGTTAGAGGGGTTAATTGACAACGATACTGAAGCAGCATAATATGAATCATCCAATACACTCACCTAACTACAGCCAGCTTCTTCGTTGACTTTTCGTACGCCAGAACATTGACGGCTTTGGTTTCGGGTTGAAAAAAGCGAACCCTGTGAACGCGATACTTCAGCTTGGAAGGCACTTCCTCCGAATCATTCGTTGGGGCCGCTCGTTTCATGTTAGCTTCTTAAAGCAGAAATCAAATACGCCTAAAAAGACAATTGCGTATTACTTCCTCAGGCAGGCTCGCACGGATTAGTTACATCGTTTAAACTGCTGCACCGGGAGGAGCACATGGCATACGGCATGCACGCAAGCGAACTACACCGGTTACAGCGCTACACACACACAGGAGGTTGTTATGGATGCGTATGGACATACACAACGGAGGCAGAGCCGTATATGTAGAGAGTTTGGTCAATGGGAGGCGCGGGCAGAGCCAGGGCGTGCGGCAGACTCGGAAAGAGGGCTTGGCATGCTCTCTTGACCAACCAGAAGCCGAAAAGAATCCCCTAGCGGTGGTAGCGAGAAACAGTTCTGAGCCGATCGATCATCGAAGGTCTATGTTCGTATACGGTTTAAATAAGTGCGTAAGAGTGAAGTGTAGTAACTCTTTGTGGTTGAAAATAGGTTGTACGTGTTGTTTCATCATGATCATGCAGAAAGATGTAAGAAACGAATGCGCCGCTCAACTCTGTTTTGCGCGGACAGAGTGTGACCGCTCTGACGGCAGATTCCCGGCGCTCGGCGTTTGGCGTAAGGATTATGTCGATCTTTCCGCTAGTCGCACTCTTCCACCATCATTTTAGATGAGTGTGATTGAAACATCACGTGTACCATATTTTCAGCCATCGAGAGTTACTCCATTGCAGTTATCAGGTCTGTTTCTCGCGACCACCACCAGGGTATTATTTCCGGCTTCTGGTTGGTCACATTCGAATTTCTGAAGACGCCCTGGAACACGCCCAGCCCGCTTTCGGCCAATGGCGCCGCTTCATTTGTCTCCTATACTTCCCAACGAATGGCCAAACTCTCTACATATACGGCTCTGAACGGAGGCAGAGCTCTGAACGGAGGCAGAGGACAGAGCCGACCGAAGAGAATCGAAGCAGACCCTACACCAAGCCCTACACAGACTCTACATCGTCATCTCCAGCGATCATCTCGTAGATTTCGGCCGTCCAAAACCATAGAGTTATGTACTTTCCAAAACATAAATGACCAGTAAAATATAATTTACAATTCTTCTACCGGTCGCTTGGGAGAGTTTTTGTTTCACGCAACGCGTTTCTATTTTTTATTTAATTTAATTGGGGTGTAACTAGTGTCACCTGGTAGCCACTGTGGTCAGTCACGTTCAGCTCCGCACCGCACCAACCGCACCGCCACCGCTCCATCCATGATCCACTCCATCGCCTCCGCGCTCTTTCGCAGTTCGACGAGTTCGGTCTCAGTGCGTTTGGTGAACCACAGACCTAGACGCCCTGCTGCTGCATGACTGCGTCGACTGCATTCTGTACCGTTTATCTTGGCTATCTCGTATACTTGCAAGGGTTTTGCAACTTTCGCAAGCAAGCCCTTTCTCCGCTTCCAGAGAGGCCCCGTGATTTGGTACATGGGGCCCGGCGGCACAGCGTGCGGCCAGTGCGGCTTTCAGTAAGATGTCGCCGTTCAAATCGAGCCGTCGTGAAACTGGCGTTGATAAATCCAGAGCGAAGGACTCGGGAAGGAAGGATCATCGCGTCGTCGATAAAATACAGGAGCTCAAGCATTTCGACACTTTGTACGTAACTCGGAGCTTGTCACTTCTGCCCTTCCATAGCCCGCATTTGGTGACTTGACGTTGACAGAACTTATCAGGAAAGGATTTATTTTCCTTCAATTTTAGTTATGGGCAAGCGCCTCCGGGTTTAATTCAAGAAGAAAAAGAAAACCCAGAGGACTGCATTCCGGATCGTCCTGAAAACAAAAGTGCGAGAGAATTTCTTTCCAAAGCACCAACGAAGGGGCTATGGATGCCGTTGGGGAAAGAAGTGAAGGTGATGAAATGTAAGCATTTTGACTTTTTATTTCTTCCACTTCCTAGTGTGTTGAGGAATAACCGTGATCTGTCGTGTTAGGCTGGAGGTGCAAGGCGTACGGACACAGGACCGGTGACAAGGAATGCCCGATGTTCCTGAGTGGAAACTCCGCCAGTGAACAGTTCAGATTCGTAAGCGCAGTGTGCTTCAATATTTGTGCTATGTGGCTGTAATGTGAGGCTTGATTTCCAGGTCCACGAAGATCCAATGCACGAGTTCCTGAAGGAGAGCAAAGAGGATGAAAAGCAAGAGCGGTAAAGTCTACAACGATTTGTCTCAGTAATTCAGGTGAAAAACAGCTGTGGCAAAAAAAGGGTAGTGAGAAAGCAAGTGTTTGTGAAGGTAGCAGAATACAAGGAAATACAGGGTGTGTCAGAGGGATCGATGGCTGTTTGAAGGGACGGTATAAATCGGCTTCTAAGTGTATCAAGCGAAAATTTTGCACAGCGGCCATGTGTGCATTAAGGGTACAAAAATTGAACTAAACAAACTTAGCTGAGTAAAAATTTAGAAATAATAAACTTCAAATCCCTACCTACGGCGGCCATGTGCTAGGCAGAGAAGTTGGCGGGTTCAGACGTTTTCATATTCTGGTGAAATGATTGCCTTTGTGTTTAATCGTTTTCTTGAGTTAAGATCTCCGACGATGTCCATATGTCTATAATAGATGCAGAAACTATCTGGGGCTCTCACTGGATGTGTTTTCGTCTACACAAGATGAAGAAATTGCTCTGGATTGAATGCTCGATTGTCTCTATGATCGTCATTATGTTCCGACACCCGACATGGTCATCGTAAGGTCGCTCCCCTTCTATGGTACCCCTTCTTGCTAGGCACTTCAATTACACCAAGTGCAACACTGTCCAGGCGCGATGCCTACCGTGACAAGTTGCTGACGATCGCTTCCAAACAACGTGAAGACGACACCATCATCATTGTAGCCCTACCGTGCTGCTGCGTTCAATTGGTACCTGTGTTTACGAGAGCTAAGGACACTGCTTCTCAGGCGCTCATTACCGGTGCGCGCTGTGGTTATTGGCAAGTCTGAACTTCAGTCTGAACTGCACCGCTCGTTTCATGCAAGTAATACTCCCCAGCATCTACCCATTCTCTAGTCATGGGTGTCAATCTCTCTCTGTACTGCACTCACATCGGTCTTTTTTGTCGCTGGTTCAAATCAACAACAATATTGTTCAGCGGAGGGGTGCGATTGTTTGGATCGTTGATATTCCTTGCGTTTTCTCTTAACCCACGACTCAGTTCTTTGTTGTTGTTTTGTCTGACGTGTCAATGCTGTCAGGTGACGTGGAACTTAATCCTGGCCCTGGCAAAGCCAAACTGGATGCCATTATGAAGTGTCTTGAAAATTTGACGCAAACTCAGGAGTACCAAACTGATAACGCCTCGAGATTAGGCCGAATTGAAGCTGACGTTTCACAAATACAGCCGAGAGTAAATTTGCTTGAGTGTGAAGTCTCTGAACTCTCCAGGGCTGTTGAAGATGCATCTTTACTGAAATCGGACCTTGCCCCTGTCAAAGCGGAACTCCAGTCTGTTATCGCACAACAGAAGCTTGTTGAGAATTTAACAGCAATGGTGGAAAACTGTAAAAATTATTTGCAGAGGAACAATGTAATAATGAAGGGCATTGCAGAAGAATCCACAAAAACCCAAGAGCAGCTCCAAACAATGGTCAGGACGTTCTTGTTTGCAAATATTAATGTCTCGCTGGGTGTTTTCGAACATACTCACCGACTAGGGCCGCAACAGCAGGACTTTTATCATCCAATCATTATAAAGCTCTTAGACTTCCGGGACAAAATGGCAATGTAAAAGAACGCTTTTAAGCTTAAATGCCTCGAGACCAAGGTGTAGATAGAAGAGGACCACTTTCCGAGGAGACGCATGGCACATAGCAAGCTCTGGGAATGTGGTGCGACGTTCTGAGCTAACAAGACAAGAACAAAACTTGCTTACGACAAGCTGTACGTGGACAGCAAGGTATTTGTTACGACTTTTAGACTGAAAGTGTAATTGAAAACCTAGCCGCAGCATGCACTATTGACTAACTGCCACAAGGTCACCCGAACATGTCTCCGTGCCTATCAATCTTTCTTTTTACAAATTTTCGCAGTGTTTTTAGTAAACAAGATATTTTGCTGAAAGATGTGCACATGACCGATTTTCAGGTTATCTCTTGGAACTGAGACATGGTTGAACAGGGACACACCAAGTGAACTGCTTTTTCAAACAATCGTATTCTATCATCGTAAAGATTGCTTTGACCGCATAGGAGGCAGTGTCTTAATTGCCATGGACGGTTTACAGTCCTTTGCTGTTTAAGTCGCCACTGAACTTGTGTGGGTCGAACTGAAAAAATTGCACTTAAAATTTGTATTGGGAGTATGTTATCGCCCTCCTAATTTTGAAAGTGGCTGTTGAAAAACTTGGTGACAACTTTGAAAAGCTGTTTGCGACATATCCAACCAGTGTCATTATTTTGGCTGGTGATTTTAATTTCCAAGGTATAACGGGAAGGACTGTACCGTTTCTCCCCCATGCAGCAACCCCTCAGGGTCTCTAGATTTGATTAGCCTTCTCTCTGCATTCGGATTGCATCAAAGTGTTCTTGAGCTGACACGTGGTGATTCAACATTAGACCTGTTTTTTCATAACCCATCCTGAACACGTCTCTTCTATACAACTCCTATCGCAAGTTAGTAACCGTGCCCTTATAAACATCGCTTTATTGGTCAAAGTTCGGTCAAACAAAGGTCATCCAAAACAATCCGGGACTACCCAAGAGTTGACCTAGAGGGCTGAAACTCTTTTCTTCTTAAAGGCCGACCTACAAAACCATTTTCCGCGGGAGAAGAGGTTTCCTCCTTGCCACCCAGAAAGGAGGAAACCCCTTCTCCTTTCCACGGAGACTAGCTTCCGGACCCGCCCTTTTCAGGGGAGGAGGAGGAAGGAGTGCGAGAGGGGAGGGAGCGAAGGTCGTTGGGGAGCACTTTCCTACCCTGCGGAAAATGGTTTCGTAAGTCGGCCTTTAAGGCGTTTGCAGGCTTTAAAAGCATGTTCAATGATTGGTTTGTTGAAACCAATTGGACCTTATTCAAGCAAGCTTTGCTTAACTCCGCGAATCAGTGAATTTAAAAAAATATACTTTCCTTAAGCACATCTCCTCCTTGGTTCTCCATAAAAATTAAATGAATATTAAATAAAAAGAAATGTTTATACCGCAAGACTGTGCGGTTAAACAAAGAGGCCATGTGGCTTCATTTTCGAGCGTTCTCCAAAAAGTGCAAACATAAAATCGAGGTAACAAAACAAATTTTTCAACGACAATTTGCGGAAACCTTTAATTGAAAACCCAACGAAGTTTTGGTCGATCATCAGTTCATCAATCCGAACCCTAGAGGTGCCAACCTGCCCACCTCCAATTCACTAGGTAACTTGCTATCCCCCTCAGTGGTTGCTTCTAATTTCAATACCTTTCTTGGTGAAATGTTTACTCGTGAAACTTTCCGGCCCCAAGCTTACCTACCAGGGGGCCAGGGGGGGGGCTTATGGGGCTTCAGCCCCCCCCCCCCCCCCCCCCTCGAAGTCCAGCTGGCCCCACAATATACACATGCATTTTGACCCTCCCCCCCTTTCCTTCTCCGCACCCCAAGTCGTGGACATCCCAGGTACCTCGACTTCCCCCGAAAAAAAATTCCTGGCTATGCCACTGTTACCTATCTCTGAATGTCTCACGCCCATGGAAGATGTTTACCTCTCAATAGAGGGTATCATGAATATCACCTGGTGGTGATGGAACTAACTCCCGACTCTTAAAATTCACCAAAGATACGTCCGCTGAATTTCTGTTCCTAATTTTCGAGCAAGCTCTTAAATCTCCCAACTGCCACCTGACTGGCTAAATGCGAACATGGTCCCCATCTTCAAATTAGGCAATTTAAATTAACTACCTATTTACAGGTATTTATCATTGACTAGTGCTTCATGTAAACTTTTAGAGCATAATGTCACATCTGAATAGCCACAGCTTGTTGTTCTCCAATCAGCATGGTTTTCATAAGAACCTTTCTTGTATTACCCAACTGTTTGAAATTAGCAATAATCTACATACTAATCTGCATTCTTCTGAACAAACAGACACAGTCTTCATAGGCTTTTCAAAAACCTTCTACCAGGACCCCCATAACAGACTAATATTCAAGCTCACATATCTCAACATGAACAGTAATGTTGTCTCCTGGATTCTAGCTTTCCTGTCACATCATACTCAGTCTGTGATGTTGGTAATGCCGTTTCCCCTCCTCTGAATGTCATATCTGGCGTCCCCCAGGGTTCTGTCCTAGGTCTGATACTTTTCCTAATTTATATAAATGATATTGCCTCTTCATTAGCCTCTATAGTCCGATTATATGCTGATGACCTTGTGCTCTATCAAACTATTTCTTCCATTGATGACTGGATAACCTTGCAGCAAGATCTAGAAGCATTAACAGCTTGATGTCATTCATGGCTCATGACCATGAACCCGGATAAATCTTAAAAAATGTAATTCTCAAGATCGCAAAACTAAGTTGCTTTTTTATATTCTTTTTCATCTGGGGATATTGAGCAAGTGGACAGCTTTAAATATTTAGGGGTGTACCTCTCCGAAGATTTATTATGCAAGAGTCATGTCAAGTACATCTGTTCTAAAGCTAACGGAACATTAGAATTGTTAAGAAGGCATATTTTTCTCGCAAACTCTTTTGTTAAACGTTTTAGCTTATATTATGCTAGTAAGAAATAAGCTGGGGTACGCTTCAGTGATATAAAACCCTCATCGAAGCTATTTAATTAACCATATAAGCAACCAATTGTCCAAAATCATGCTACTCGTTTTATCACTCTTAACTACTCGTGGAGTAGCATCTCCTTAAAACAATCCATATCCCTACAAACTTTCGACACTCAAAGAAAATGAGACCGGCTCTTTTTCATGCACAGAGTGTACTACAACCTGTGGTCTCCCCAGACTTTTATTTCTCCGGCCCACCATATTTCTTCTCGCCTCGATCACTCCTGCAAGGTGGAACTCGCTTTTTTGCAAAACCAAAACATTTAAATGCCCACCCCTTCCATTATGCATATCAGATTGGAATAGCCTATACTGAAGCTCGGTAAGTAGTAGTAATTATAAATGTTTTTCGCATGCGATTTCTAGAAGCAAATATTTAAACAAAGCAATACTCAGTCC